GGGAGAGCAGCAGACTGGCCTTGCTGGGATAGGGGACATCAGAGGCTTTTTCTACTGGTGTCACTGCTTTAAGGTTTGCCAGCCTCTCTTCTCGACAGAAATCCCCCTGGCTCAGCTGCTCTCATCGTGTCAAAAGTGAATCTTTTGCGTTGCAGGTTTGGGAAGCGTTTGCAATGATTAAAAATAAACCAACTTCTTTATTTCGCCCTCGGCAGTTTTAGAGAAGCGGAATTGAAAAAGGAACAGAAAATGAGGTGTGGGGTCATTTGAAGATTTTTCACATGTTTGTGGGGGGCTGAAGGAGGCAGTGAGGGTAGGGTGAGTGGAGCTCAGTCAAAAGCACATCAGCTGTCAGCACCTCAATTCCCACTGAGCTCCCACCCTCATTATGAAGACCTGTTTTAATTACACCTGCTGCGAAAGTGGGGGAAAGGTCCACTGAAAGTCTCTCTGGAGAGCTCAAATAATGGGATGTGCTGGGGCTGCACAAGCCAGACAGCCAGGAAAGCAAACATGAGAAATCAGCCGTGTCCACAGGTCCTGGATAAAAACTGGCCAAGTATCAGTTCTCTGTGGAGAGCAGAGCTCCTTCCTCGGGTGCTGAGCAGACAGCAAACCCTGCTGGCTTAGGGACAGCCCTTTTCATGCTGTTTGGTGGCCGTCATCTCCCCCAGCCCCTGGGTCCTGTCACCAGGACAGCAGTCTGCCCTCTTGGTGGACAATTTGCTTTTTCTTCTCGATGGCAACACCCTCCCAGTGACAGCTGATGCACCAGGGCTGTGCACCGCGGCATGGGATCTGGGACAGCAGAGTGGCTGAGACACTGCCGGGGAGACAAGGGTTAGGCAGGGAGCAAACAGGAGCTTTTCTGGGTTAATCCGCGGAAGAGATGGGGAAGGAGGAACAGAAAAAGCAGATGTGGGGTCTGGCAGAGCTCGCTTTCCCCCTCCAACCTGCAGGGCAGGGAAGCCCGGGGGGAGCTGGGCTCCCTGGGAGAGGAGCCCTCCAAAGCCGAGGGGCAGCGCTGCAGTGAGGGCTGCAGGCGGCTGGCAGCGGGGCCAGGGGACAGCGGGCGGTCGGCAGGTGGCAGCAGGAGAGCGGGGAGAGGAGCCGCTGCAGCCCCGGGCTCTGAAAACCGGCTAAAAACACCGAGTTTCCCAGCTTGGCTTTTTTTACAGCCTTCTTTGACACAGGAGCCATCAGCGGCAGAGAGGGTGGAACACCCCGCTGATGGTTACAAGGAGAGAGGTTTCCCAGTAGGAGGGAATAGAAGTCTTTAATTATTCGTACAAACATAAAAACAAACTAAAAAAAAAAACCAAAAAAAAAAACTCAAACAAGCAAACAAACCCCAAAACCAACCAAACAAAACAACCGGAAAACAAATAAACAAAAAAAAAACCAAACAAACAAAAAACCCTAGAAAAGTTTCAACTCTTAGTTCTGCATTCCGCAGGAAAAGCAGAGCAGCCTTGGCACAGAGGGTGGAAACTCCCTTGTGAGGTTTATGTGGGAAGGTTTAAGAGGAAAAGTCCAAGGACAGGTGGATAGGTGATTAAAAATGACATTCAGCCCTTGGAAGATAACGAGCATTTTCACACTCACCTTCCTGGTACCAGCCCACAGCCAGGGAGTCCTTGGAGCTCTCCTTAAAGCACTGAAAGTGCTTTCCTTGGGAAGGCCTGGTGCAGGTTATGGGAAACTGGAGCCCCCAGGATGGCTGTGCACACACCCACACACACCCTGCTCCCAGCTCCAGGGTGATACACCCACACCCTTCAGAGGGTGGGGAAAATTGTTAGTAATTATTTCATTTCCTTTGGGAAAAGGGAAAGAGGAGGAATTGTAAAGTCTTCTGCCAGCGAATTGCATCCTTTGAGGTTTTCTATTTTCACACTCAGCATCTACATGAGGCATTTTCTTTTGGAGACTCAAAAAGGTGCAGAAATAGCAATGCTTTGTTATGCCAAAGGAAAGTGCAAGTTAGCCTGTTCCCTGAAGATCGGGAGATTTGCTTTTAACTCTTACCAGCTCAAAGGGCTTTAGATAATAAGTGGAAGAATAGATTTCATGGTTGGAACTAGGTGATCTTTTAGGTTTTTCCAACCTAAACCAGTCTGCAACTCCCTGATATCTCCCTGCATTTATTTGTCAAGGTTTCCCACTTTCTGCTCCCAGCAGATGAAGCCTCTGGTGTTTAAAAAAGGTGGAAGTGGCTTGGATCAGTCCTGCTGCTCATTGAGTGAGATGTTTTTAAAACTGTAAAGACAATATTGTGTAATAATCTGTGATGAAGACTTAGTTCCCTAGAGATTAACTCACATTTAGACCTCAAAAGTTCATTTTGTCCCCTACAGATTAGCAAAGATTTTACAATCAAAAGAACCCTCTGACTACCTCTGTCTTATCTCCAAAATGTTCATTCTTTCCCCGGCAGATTGCCTACATTTATTGCAAAAAAAAAAAAAATGTAATTCTGTCCCCTACAGATAATCTCAGATCTTAGCCCCAAAATATTCTCTGTGCCTTACAGATCACCTAAAGTTTTCTGGGCAAACTTTTTTCCTACCTGTTGATTACTTCACTTTTACCTCAAATTGTTCTCTTCCCTATAGACTAACTCAAATTTCCACACCATTTTGTCTCCTACAGTTTAAGTAGATTTTACCACCAAAAAAACAACTGATTATCTCTATTTTATACCCAAATTGTTGAAGTAGATCCTGTGAGATGGGACAATGCTTTTTATCATGCAAATGTCCTAGGTAGACGCTGCCCTGGTGCTAACAGAGTAAAAACCATTGGAGGTCTTTTCAAATTGAAGCCCGACTTGGTCACTGCCACATCATCAACTTGAACCGAGGGTGTAAAACCAGCAGCAGATGCTTGGTTTAACCAGCAGCTGCTGGTTATTCCCCGAAAACCCAGAGCATCCTGGTTGCTATAGAGACACGTCGCCCTTTCCTTGCTCCTGATGTCGTTGTGAGGACTGCTCCTTTGCCTCCACGCCCTTGTGCAACACAGGGAGCGAGGAGCAGCGGCTGCGTTATTCCTGGGGAGGAGGAATGGGCGGCGGAGGGAATGTGATCCCGCAGGTAAGCGAAGGGCGGAGGAAACACAACTCCCTGCTCTGCCGCCGCCTCTCTCGGCAGTGCGAGCGGTGCAGAAGCCACTTTGTTCCTCCAGTGCCAGCTCCATTATTGATGAAGCAGGAAGGTGATCTCTGTCCCGAGTCCCGCGTGTGCTCGCAGAGCTGGCAGGGAGCTCGCCCCGGGCTCGGGCTGTGCCCCAGAGGGAGGGGAGGTCCCTGCTCTGCTCCTGCCACCCCCGGGACTGCGGCTAAAGCACCCTACAAACACAGTGACACCCACTAGTGTGGGTGCTCAGCTGCCCACCAGCCTCCCTCTGCCCTCACCTCAAAATTAGTTATGTATCAGCGCTGTGGTTTTGCCAAGATCTTTGCCCACAAAATCCGAGGCAGAATGCCCTGTTCCAGTTTAAAAAACAAGCGAGGAGCTTAGAAATGTTTCACCATGTCTCAAAACCCCACAAAACTCCTGTGGTGTGCGGCCAGCCAGACTCATCTGCTCTTTTCTGACATGATCAACCTGGCGGCCCACACAGGCCTGGTCCTGCCAGCCCTGGGCTTGCCTCATTTAGGCAGAGTTCCCTTCAAGATATCCTGTCTATCTGCAGCTGGATTGCAGAGCCACTGGCTGTGGTGCCTGCTAAAACCAGGAAAAGAGAGATGGAGGGAGGGAGGGAGGGAGGGAGGGAAGGAAGGAAGGAAGGAAGGAAGGAAGGAAGGAAGGAAGGAAGGTCACACCCAGGCTTTCCTGCCTTGCTGTTTGCATACCAGCTGGCACTCTCCACCCAAACCCATCCCCATCACCTTGGCTCACAGGAAGCCACTGAGGAGTGATGAATGATGTTGATCATCACACTTAAATGCCAAGAAAACTTGCATTTTGTTGTCTGTGCCACATGCGTAGCAGAAAAGCTATGCCAGGAATGTGAAAGAAGGCTGAAAGTTTTTATGGGTACTAGTTTTTTGGATCTCTCTCTGCTTGCAGAGCCAGATGTCTTTCAACTCCTCAGTGTCTAACAGAGCTCTGTTACAGAGCTCTGAGGGAGCTGGGTGAATTTCTGCTCTTCAGCCAAAATAGTAATTTCTGTAGGATTTAATGCTCCAGACCCTAAGCCTGCCCTGCAGGGACAGTGACAAGCACTGTCCCCCAATGCTCCTGGGCTGCTCCCAGTAGGATGCTCTCACTCCCTGCCCTCTTGGAGCACAGAGATGTGACCTCACCAGCACAGCACACCACAGTGGGTTCAACCCCTCCACGGCTCCTGTATGGGGACAAAGTGGAGTTTGGGGAGAAAGGTGCTGACCTTGAAGCCAGTTTTGGCTGAGGATAACAAAGAGGAACCTTCCCACAAGGTGGTCACAGAGATGGGGCCAGGTTCCTCACATGATGGGATGGTGAGGGCCGGGCCAGGAGAGGTTTGGAGTGGATAGAAGAAGAAACAATTTCTCCAGTACGGCCGTGAGCAAAGAGAGGTTGTACTAGCTCCATCCTTGGAGGTTTGCACGATAAAGCCCTGACCAGCCCAGTGTGACCCTGCTTTGGGCAGGAAGCCTATAGCCCAAATCACCCCGTGTGCCCGGGAGGAGGCTCACTTTTGCCCAGACGGGACGATTTCGCGGGGTGTCTGTGGGTTCCCAGGACTCCACTTCCCTCCTTTCCCCACCCTGGAGGCCCCTTCCAGTGATCCCGAGGCGGGGGCGGGCAGCTCCCGGTTTCCCGGCGTGGCGTGCCGGGCTGGGGGCAGCGGGGGGTTGGCCCGGGGACCCTGCCCGGCCCCGCCCCGGGACCCGCGTCCAGGCGCCGGGACTGCTCCCCCCGCCGCTGCCCCGGCAGGGAGGAAGGAAGGAAGGAAGGAGGGAGGGAAGAGGGGAGGGAGGGAATCAGGGAGGGAGAGAGGGAGGGAGGGAGGATGACAGCACCGTGAAGAAAAGCAGGGAACCCGCTGCTCTCTCTCCTCCCGTACGGCAGGACCGGGCGAGCTCGCCCCGCGGAGCGGCCGCCGCCGGGTAGGTGCAGCGGGGTCGAGCCCGACGGGGCCGGGGCCGGAGCGCAGCCGGGGGCCGGGACCGGCGCGATGGGCAGCGGGAGCCCCGGGGCGAGGGGCAGGATGGCGGCGGGGATCGGGTCTTTCCCGGCGCGGCGGGGACTTGCGGGAAGTTGGGCTTGCGAGGACGGGCCGCGGCCCCGAGCTCACCCCCCCGGCCCGGGCAGGGGGAGCGGGGCCGGCGGGGAGCCCGGGGCTCGGTGGCCGCATCCCCCCGCGGGGCGGCCCCGGGTTCCGCCGGCTCCTTTGTGCGCCCTCCGGCCTCGGCCGCTCCTTTGTCTCGGTGCGGGGCCCCCCGCCGCCCGCTCCCGCAGCGGGGCAGCGCCGGCGGTGCCTCCCTTCCTCCCCTGCCTCCCTCCCCTCGGCGGACAGCCGGATCCCAGCGCCCTGCTGCTGAAAGTCCTCCCAGCACATGACTGCTCAGCAGCTCTCCCCGTGCCTTTCTTTCGGGGGGAAAAAAAAGCTGGGGAAAAAAAAAAAAATCAATGGAATAGGATCGAGCTCTGCAGCGGCAGCGCCGAGCCTCCGTCCGGAGTGGAGCGCGTTTGGGGCGACAGAAGGAGACTTTGGAAAATGAGAGTTTCTCACAACCATCCCGGAGTTGCATCATCCGTCCTGTCAGCCCCTACCAGGGAGCACTGGAAAGTTGTTCGCACCCTTTCCCCTCCTGTCCCGGGGTCACCGGGGCACGCTGGCCCTCGGCCGGTTCCCGGCGCCCGGGAGCCAGCGACATTTCTGCCGGAGCCGGGACTCTGACACCCTCACGGCCCCAGACGGGCCCTGGATGGCATGAGGGTACCCTGGGGGGAAAAGGCCATCCCAGCAGGGTCCCCCCTCAGTGCCTGCCGGGATTTCAGCAGCCGCACTGGGGAGAGCTGCCCACGCCCCACTGCCTTTGCACCGAGCCTGGCTTTGGTGCCTGGAGGAAAGCGTTTCCCTTTCCACAGCCAACGATTTACAACACTACACCAGGACAGGCATTTAACTCTGCAGTTTTTCCACATCTGCCATGTTGCTTCAGCGTACGGCTCGATTTCACACCCCCAGTCTCCCTGTGCTGACTCGGGCACAGGTCACTGTCCCCTCGCCAACATCTCTTGCCACCAGTCCCTTCTGCATCCCTGGAGCGCTACAGGCGCCTGTCTCGGGCTGAAAGGCGAGCAGAGGCGGGCACAGAGAGCGCCGTGTCCCTGCTTTAGGGTGGGTTTGGCCGAGGAGCTTCCAGGCGAGCGTGGAGCAGTGAGGGGAAGGAGTGTGGGGCGGTGGGAGGGACCGTGGGCTCCGCGCCCCAAAGAAAGGGCTCATTGAAGCAGGGACGGGCATTTGCGGTTCCCAGCGTGGCCGGGGGGCGCCGGCACGCACAGCAGCCGGCATTGTGCCACCGGCGCCGAGCAAACGTCCTCTCACCCGTCCTGGTGGTCTGCCCTGCAGCTCCCCTCGCTGCCCAGCAGCTCGGCGCCTTCAGTCGCTCACCTTTGCTGCAGGTGGTGCTGCAAACCCCAGCCCAGCCGTGCCTGTGATTTCCAGCGCGTTGGTTTCCAGGTTGAAGGTGTTTCAGCTGGGTCCTGGTCCAGATCCAACTCCAGAGGCTGGTCCCCGCCTGGCAGATGCACATGCTTTATCCCCATGCCCAGCACTGATGTCTCTGAGCCCCACTGGGTTCACCAGGGGCAGGAGCAGCAGCTCTCCTCTCTGCTGGGTCAGGAAAAAACTCTTGGTGACTCTTTGGACACCACCAAGGCAAGGGAGAGAAAAGACCAGTCTGTCCTGGCCATGAAGCCTGTGCTGGTCCTGTCACCAACATTACTGTGCCCTACACCCCTTCTGCAGAGTGGTTTTTGGGACACAAGGAACACGGACAGCTCATCTGGGTCATCACAGAGAACAGGTGGGACAGTAAAGAGAGGATAGGGGACAACCTCATGAACAAGGAACACGGACAGCTCATCTGGGTCATCACAGAGAACAGGTAAAGAGAGGATAGGGGACAATCTTATGCACCTGGAGTCTGAGAGCTCATGCAATGAAAAGAAAATTGTTCCAGTGGTGCCTGTTTGTACCAACACCATTCCTGCTACTGCTCCTGAGTGTAACCTCTGAGTCAGAAGGACTTTCCATTCCCAACTTTCTCCCCCAATGGGCAGTTTCCAGGCTTCAATTTGATGAGGATTGTGACTATTCTCAGCAACTTTATAAACATTGTAGGAGGTGACTTTTTCCCCTCTTTTTTTTTAGCTTGACTAGACATGTTTTTAACCAAAAAATACCTGCCTGGACAGGCTCCTTAGCTGCGCTGCAGGGCAAACCGAAGCAGTGCTGTGCTTGTGCCATGCCTTGGAGGACAGCCAGGACCAGGATGAAAATTGCTGGGAGATGAAAGCAAAGTGGGAAGCTCTGGTGGCACGTTTCCCAAGGCCAGCCTTGGGAGGAAGCTGGGAGCGGAAATAGTTGAAAGAGTAAATACAGAGGGCTTTTTTTTCCCCCCAGGTTGCAGACAAAGAGCAGCACGGAGAGCAGATAAACCCATGCTTCTTATCTCTTTGTTGTTCCACCCCTGTGTTCTGCTGATCCGAGTGTCTGATGGAAGTCTGATGAAGCAAAGGACCGTGGAGGGAATTACTCAGTGCAGCAGCAGCTCCAGGGGCAGGGAGCTCAGCTGCAGGTCACTGTGGGCTTCCATGGAGGGATGCATGGGAGTGGGTGGGGGCTGGATGGTCAGAAGGATCTCAGACAGGGAGGGAACTCTTGCACGTGGGTGTTTCATTGCCTTTCTGTGTCCAGAGCTCAGTTGTTGCCTGTTGAGTCACCGGAGGAAAATGTGACTTCATGCAGTCTCACCTCCAGCCGGCTGCCCCTGGCAGCCATAGGCATCTTTCTTTCCTGGATCTCACCTGGTGGGGGTTCAGGGCAGCCAGAGATGGAGAAGGAGAGCCCCAAGGCTTTGTGTAAGACCTTTCCTTTCCCAATACAGAGCTCAAAACTGCTGCTCTGCTCTTCTGGTCAGACAGTCCTGTGGAATGCCCTCCAGAAGGGTGACAGGAGCATCCCTTCCCTCCTTCCTCTCACAGGGCCTCTGCTCTTCTCATCCCACCTGCACCACCAGTGGGAGCATCCATCCCACAAGAAACTTGCTCCAGCAGATTGGAATGATTTGGTGTCTCCATTACTGTCCAAGGCCTTCTTCTTGCTGTGGCAAGGTTAACTTAACTTGCTGCTAGTGGAGGATCCCACCTGGGCAGATTTGCATGGGAACAAAATCCCCAACACCATCCAGAAAAAAAAAGCTCCTTTTCTGGCTGTAACTCATTTGGGAAATCCGTAAATCTCTGCAATGGGAATGGCAGCCATCCCTGCTGAATTGAAAAGCACTTCCAGCCTGAGGGATAGGAAAAAGCAGGGAGCAGCATCCGAGCTGTGGGTGCTGCCATCCACGGCATCTCAGTTTAGCATTCCTGGAAATTATTCTGCTTTCCTTTGGGATGTGGAGAGCAAGAGGACACTGCCTGCCATCTCCAGGGATGATGTCCCTCCATCTGTCTGCTCACACAGGTGCACTCCCCAGGAGTGAACACTGGCAGGGCACCCTGGGGCGGCAGCAGCATCCCGATGGTTCTCCTGATCCATCCCATCCCAGCAGAGCCCTGGAGGGGAACGTGCAGGGGACACAGAGCCCCTCTGTTCCCCTCACAAAGGGGTGCTTGTGGCTTGTGCAGTGCCCCGGCCGGGCCCCAGCAAGGAAGAGCTTTGGGATGCCAGGCAGCCTCACCAGGTCACCCGCGTGTCCCCAGCCCCACAGCTCAGCCCTGGCGGGCCCCGCGCCTGTCGCTGCCGCCCCGCGGGTCCCGGGCAGGATTTGCAGCCGGTTGTTTGTTTAGTGAATGATGTCTGCCCCGGGTCTGTGAATGAGGGTTTTGCCAGCGCTGCCGGACATGGTTCTCTGTGTCACCCCTGTGAATAATTCCTGGTCTGTGGCTCATTTGTGGTCAGGCAGCTGGGGGCATTAGAGGGGGAAATCCCGGGGCTGGCTTTGCCCAGGGGTTTGTCTGAGGAAGCGGCTGATGCCATCCCCAGTGCGTGGGGACTGTCCCCAGCCCCAGGCAAGGGCAGGGATGCAGATCATCGCCCCCTGGGATGCCGTGACTCTGACTCTGTGCGGCCACACACCGAGGGGTCAGTGTATTCGATTTTTTTCTCTCGGTTGCTCAAATACTCCGACAAATCCTGTCATCGAGGGAGCACGACCGAGGAGGGGGGATATGAGGGGTGGCTGGTGAAAGGCACCTGCCTTGGCTGCTGGCCTGTCCCCGAGGAGCAGCGTGATGACAAACTAAACTAACAGGGCTGTTAAAAACACACACAAGCACACACATGCACGCACACACGTGTGCTGGGGATCTCGGTGCCACTTGCTGAAAGGGTAGAGCTGGGGGACCACTGTGGGACGGCTCTAGGGCTGCCAGGGCTCTCCAGAATCCCCGCATCCCACTAAATCCTGAATTTCCTGGGTGCGTGGGTGTGGATGTCTCTTTTTAGAAGGTTTTGCTGGAAACGAGATGGCTGGAAGCCAAGCCTCGGGAGCTGAGTGCTTTGCTCAAGCTGGGAAATTCCTGGTCCTCGCACAGAAAAGACCAGGAACCCAACAGGAATGGGGTGCTGCCCTGGCCACGGGACACATCCCACCCCTTCTGCCCACACTCCCTCCTTCCCAGCCCGAGGGGCATTCAGCGAGCAACGCTAAAAAATGCACATTTTGGCCGAGCATGACGCGGAAGAGGTTGCGACGTGACGCAATGCCTGGCAGGGCTTCCCCACTCCACGCTCTGCCGGGGGCTGCAGATGCCGAGGCTTGGCCAGGGCATCTCCCCTGCAGCAAACCCCGGGGCCCCCCGAAGGATGGGGCTCTGCCTGGCTCCCCTCCTCCTTCACCCCAAACGCAGGGCTGGGACGGGCTGCCGGGGTCGCGCTGCTGGAGCCCAGCCAAGGCTAAATAGACTTTCCCTGAGTCACCGAAAGTCTGGCCAAGAAAGCGGGACGAGCGAACGGCGTCACCCCGGGCAGGTGGCAGGTGCCAGCAAGGTCTAGGGGTGTAAATCTGCACACTGGGGACTTGCCCCAGAGCCCAAAACAGCAGATGTGGCACCCAAAATCTCCAGCTGGGGTGTGGGTTTGGTGTGACTCAGAGAGGTTTCCAGCATACCCCGATTCGGGCGCTGAAGGAGAGGCTGGGGGGCGGGCCTTTTCTGCTGGGCAGGGATGCCAAGTCTCCTGGCTTTGCATCCCACACCAAGCAGCTGCAGCATTATTTGGGTTTTTGGGTTTTTTTTTTTCCTTTTTTGGCAAAAACCTCCCCCGGAGCATTCTACCCCCCGAGGGGGACTGACAGCAGCAGTGTTTTCCGGCCCGCCGTTGTTCCTGAAAACTCTCTGGGTTTCATTTTCGAGGCTCAGCAGCTGCTGCTGCCATGCTGGGGGAAGGCAGAAGCTGTTCAGCCCCACACTGGGGCCCTACAGTGGAGCCTCCAAGCCTCCCCTTTCCAGAGGTTGGGAGCCACAATGTGCCAAAGGTCCGGATGATCCAGGGGCTCCCTCGCTGGCAGCAGGTTTTTGCCAGCAGGAAGCAGGCAGCTATTGGGTGGCAGGCCTGGGTTGGGTTTCAGGGTGGGCAGGGGCAGCTGGTGGAAGCGTAGGAAGGGGTCCTGTCGGGCAGATCTATTTTGGAAAGGAGGAGGAGCAGCCGATGGGGCATTCAGGCAGCTGCTCCTCGGGGGTGGGATGGAGCAGCAGGGAGGAGCTTCCACTTTTTTACTGCTCTTGTCCGGCCTTTGTCAGCCTCTGACCCTGCCTGCAGGCAACCATCACCATGCTGAGCCTTCTTCTCCCCACAGGCAGGGCTGGCGAGGCCCTAGCCCAAGACACCTTCCCGGCGTGCAGGAGGGACCTGTGTGTGTTCCCCATGGAGATCCGACGCGCTTTGCCCCAGGATATCCGGGAGCTGCTGCACTGCTTGAAGATGAAGAGCAAGTACGCCGTGCTGCTGGTCTTCGTCATCAGCCTTGTCATCATCGAGAAGGAGAACAACTTCATCTCCAGGTAGGCAGTGGGCATCTGAGCCAGCGCAAGGTTTGCGGCCCCTCTCCCCCAGTCCTGAGCTGCTCTGCAGCAGGAGCCCCCAAGTCCCCCGGTGGGATGCAGGGTGGTTCCGCTGTCCTCCAGGCTGGGCTGGGTCTCCCCACAGGGTGTCGGACAAGCTGAAGCAGTCCCCGCAGGCACTGGCAGAGGCCAACAGCACGGAGGTCAGCCCAGCACCGGCCAAGAATGGCTCGCTGGCCTCGCTGCAGGAGCTGGACGCTGCCTTCTCCCAGCTGAGGTCCCACCTGTACAACATCACCCTGCAGCTGGCAGCTGACGGGGACCCCGGGCCACGGCGGCACGTCCTGCTGATGGCCACCACCCGCACTGGCTCCTCCTTCGTCGGCGAGTTCTTCAACCAGCAGGGCAGCATCTTCTACCTCTTTGAGCCCCTCTGGCACGTCGAGAAGACGGTGACCTTCCTGCCGGGGGGAGCCAGCGCTGTGGGCTCAGCCTTGGTTTACCGAGATGTCCTCAAGCAGCTCCTCCTCTGCGACCTCTACATCCTAGAGAACTTCATCTCACCAGTTCCCGAGGGCCACCTGACGCCTTTCTTGTTTCGGCGGGGCTCCAGCCACTCCCTGTGCGAGGAGCCCGTCTGCACGCCCAGCACCAAGAAGGTCTTTGAGAAGTACTACTGCAAGAACCGCCGCTGCGGCCCCCTCAACATCACGCTGGCGGCCGAGGCGTGCCGGCGCAAGCAGCACGTGGCCCTGAAGACGGTGCGCATCCGGCAGCTGGAGTTCCTGCAGCCGCTGGTGGAGGACCCTCGGCTGGACCTGCGCATCATCCAGCTGGTGCGGGACCCCCGCGCCGTCCTGGCCTCGCGCATGGTGGCCTTCTCGGGCAAGTACGAGACCTGGAAGAAGTGGGCGTCCGAAGGGGAGGCTCCGCTGCGCGAGGAGGAGGTGCAGCGGCTGCGGGGCAACTGCGAGAGCATCCGCGTGTCGGCGGAGCTGGGGCTGCGGCGGCCGGGCTGGCTGCGGGGCCGCTACATGCTGGTGCGCTACGAGGACGTGGCGCGGGCGCCGCTGCAGAAGGCGCGGGAGATGTTCCGCTTTGCCGGGCTGCCCCTCACCCAGCAGGTGGAGGAGTGGATCGGAAAAAACACGCAGGCTCCCCCCGACGGCAACGGCGTCTACTCCACGTGCAAGAACTCCTCGGAGCAGTTCGACAAGTGGCGGTTCAGCATGCCATTCAAGCTGGCGCAGGTGGTGCAGGACGCCTGCGGCCCGGCCATGCAGCTCTTTGGCTACAAGCTGGCCAGCAGCCCTGCAGCGCTGGCCAACCGCTCCTTCAGCCTGCTGGAGGAGGCACAGCCCGCCTGGGTCACGTAACGGCGCGGGGCCACGGCGGCGGGGTGGAACGAGGGGCTGCGGCCGTGCTCCCGGCCGGTCCGGAGACGACCTGGGGGTCCCTGCTCCCAGAAATGCTCCTCGCTGCTGCCAGATGGCAGCCCCAGGAGCTGGAGCATCTTGGCAGAGCTGGCCCCAGGGTCCTGCAGAGCCTGAATTACACAATTTCTCCGGGAATGGGGAAATGGTAAGGGTGAGGGGCGGTGGGGTCGGCAACAGGGCCACCTCCCCAGCTCGGGAGCTGCACTGAGGAAGAGGAGGGTGATGGCAAGCAGAGGGGGACAGGACTGAGCACCTCTGCCTTGCCTCCCCCCATGCCAGCTGGGACGGGGCAAGGACAAAATTCCTGTGGTGCCAGCAAGCGCCCAGAGACCTTGGTTTAGTGCCTTCATACAGCAGCAGAGACTGGAAACTGCCCACAGAGCCCTGGATGGCACTTGGGCTACAACAAAATGAGGTGACTATGGTTTGGTGCTCTTCAAACTTGGTTTTGGAGGTTTGGGTTTATTTCCTTTTTTCCCTGTGTATTTGCATACCAGGTGAATTTATTTATTTATTGTGTGAAAAGGAGGGGGAGGCTGGTCAAGGAGCTAAGCCCAAAAATCAGAGCAGCACAACATACCACAAAGGGAGACACCCAGAACAGAGGTCACATTTTAGCTGGAGACCACCATGTGTCCTTCTGTATGATCTTGGGAGAGCCCCCAAGGACCGATGGGCTGTAACCCACCTGTGCAGCACCAACTGCGAACTTTGGCGGTGCTGAAAGACGGTCAGATTTATCTGATTAAAAACAAAGCCACCAGCACAGAGTCCAAAGCATCTCCTGTCTCCTTAGTATTGGTGGGTGTACCCTGCCCAGGGGAGTCCCAGAAATACGTGTTAACAGCACTAATGGGTGGCCAAACCTGGTAGAGGCCCAGGAAGTTTCAGGGTGTTTGCCGTTTGTAGATGTTGACCCAGTGCCGAGCTGCCCCCTCCAATTCACATTTCATTAATTAAAATGCCTATTTTTAGCCCTCTTTGTAGCTCATTCTTTTTCTCAACCCAGGTATTTTTGGGTTATGGCAGCCACCTGAGGGAGAAGTTGAGCATTTTGGTGGAGCGTGGTTGTCTCCAGCTCGGGCTTGCCAGCGAGCCCTGAGGGGTCCCAGCAGCCGCAGATCCCCTTCTCCCCAACTAGAGCTGTTGGCCAAAAGCAAAAATAAATAAATGAAACGAGGCGGCAGCCGGCCGCAGCTGGGCCGCGCTTTGCCGGCCGGGAGGAACGTGCTGGGGCTCCGGCGCAGGGCTGCGGCTGGGCTGAGCTCACAAAAGCCGCGTTTTTGACCCAAGAGGGAGAACAGAGGCGGCATTGAGGAGCGCGGGGCCGGCCGGCGGGGAGCAGCAGCACCGGAGCCCCGGGCAGCCATCCGCCCGCCCGCCGCGGCTGCGGAGGTTTTCCGAGCAGGGCCGGGCAGCATCAGGCTTCAAGGTGTGATTTCAGAGTGCTCGGTGCCAGCTGGATGGGGAAAGGACACAAAAGTGGAGGTTTTTGGCATACCCTCATCGCTCACAGGCGATGGAGAGAGTCAGCCTCCTCCCCGCCTCACACGCAGCTCTCGGCATCACAAGCAGCCCTGGGGCTGCTGAGTGAATCGGGTTTTGTTTGGAGGCTTCCTGCTGGGAAAGCAGCAGGGTCGCTGAGGTCAGATGGATATTCCGCAGCTGCGTGCTGGGAAAAGCCCACAGAGCTCAGCCAGCATGAGGGGGAATGCAGGGTCCTGGTAAAAGCCTCTGGAAAAGCACCATTAGGTTGTCTTTTGCAGAGAAAATAATTTTAGGGTAATTGTTGGTGAAACAGCATGAGGAGTGAGTAGCTACTGAACTGCCACAGCCAAAGAGGGGACATTGGCGAGTGGCCAGCATCCCCCTCCCATCCCATGGCAGGTGGAGGCGCTTCGGGGTTTGGAGAGCCAGGTCCAGGGGGCAAGGACAGGCAAATCAAGGAGCATGGAAAACAAAGGCAAGGGAAGCAGGAGCTGGGCTGAGCCGAGGCCAGAGAACAGAACAGATAAAAACAGAAAAAAGAATCACTGGGTTGGAAGAGACCTCCAAGATCATCGAGTCCAACCCATGCCCCAACACCTCAACTAAACCCTGGCACCCAGTGCCACATCCAGTCTGTTTTAAACACATCCAGGGATGGTGACTCCACCACCTTCCTGGACAGGCCATTCCAGTACTTCATCACCCTTTCTGTAAAATACTTTTTCCTAATATCCAACCTGTATTTCCCTTGGCGCAGCTTACGACTGTGTCCTGTGGTTCTGTCAGTGCTGCCTGGAGAAGAGACCAACCCCAGCTGAGCACAGGCACCTTTCAGGAACTGTGCAGAGTGATGAGGGCACCCCTGAGTCTCATTTTCTCCAGGCTGAGCACCCCCAGCTCCCTCAGCCTTTCCTCTCAGGGTTTGTGTTCCCAGCCCCTCTCCAGCCTCATTGCCTCCTCTGGACGCACTCCAGCGTCTCAATGTCCTTCCCAAACTGAGGAGCCAGAACAGGACACAACACTCTAGGTGTGGCCTCACCAGTGCCAGGTACAGGGGAAGAATGACCTCCCTGCTCCTGCTGGCCACACTATTCCAGAGGGGATGGCGACGGCCGCCCGTTCTTACCTGCGCTGCCTCCGCCCCGGCTGGCTCCAGCCCACACTGCTAGCCAAGCATAAGCAATTGTTCCTGGACACCCTCCAGCTTCCTGTCAAAACCATCACAGGACAGAGAGAAAACATGCCCCCGACCCGTGCAGATTTCCACAGGGCTAATTGCTCCCATTAAACCCACGGGCTCCAGGCGCATCGGGAAGCCACAGGGGACACGGCTCCTTCAAGGCTGGAGCAGCTGAATTCCCCCTGAGCTGGTGGAGGGAGGTTTGTCCCCCCACAAGAGGGGCCTCCTGCTCAGCCTGCTCTGGCTGCTGCCAGTCCTTGCCTGCCTCTTTCCATAGAGGATGAAAGGCATGGATTTTGGAGGGAAAGAACAGATTGGGAAAGTCATAGTAAGAGAGTGCCTTAGAGCAAGGACATACCTGCATGCAGACAGACCACGCAGGAAGCCCACAACAGGAGCTGCAAGGGATGCAGACTCACCCTTTCTCATAAACACCAATGCAAAAAAAAAAAAATTAATTTCAATCCTCTTTTCAAAAGATCTAAGCTTTCTGAAATAAAGCAGTACTTGGTTTAAAATAAGGGAATAAAACAACCCCCACCTGTGCAGCTGTAGTGCCTCCAGGCTCACCTCCAAGACTGCTGCAGCTGTGCTTTGGGGGGAATTCAGGAACATTGGGAGGCTGTTAATTATCACCAGAAAGACCTTTTCCAGAACAGCCCAGAAGAGTGAGGGGACATGTGTCCTGTGGAGCAGGACCACCAGCCAAAACTGCTTCTCCTTGGGGTCATTGCAGGTGACACAAGATGATGTAGCATCAATGAGAGCTTTAACAAATGATGGATGTTCCCCTCTAAATGGGATCTTTCTGGAAAATTATTCCCTCCCACTGGTCTAATCCGGAGTTGACTTTGGACAGCAGGTACATCCTGCTGTTTCTCTGCTTCCCTCTCAGAGCCCTCAGAGCTGCCTGAGCCATGCTGGCATGGCTGGGCTTGCTGTGGAGAGGCAGTTCTTGAGGCAGAACCTGTTGGTAAGCCAACTAAGGGAGCGGTGAAGGTGGGTAAGTCTCTGAAGTGCCACCTTAGATGCCCTGCAGTTTAACACCCAGGTGGCCCTGCTGGGCCATGAAGCCCAGCCATCAGGCAGATCCATAGAAATCCATAAAAAGGCCTTTTTCCAGCCTGGCATGAGGTTTCTCCCAAAGAACAGGAGTGGTGGCTGCTGTGCTGGCTGTCCTGACCTCCCATACCCTTCTCCTCACTTGTTCCAGCTCCATTTAATGGGATCGGATGAGCTAATCCCCCATGTCTCCTCGCAGCCCTATCGGAGGGGATTTCTGCACAGGGGCTGGAGGGAAGGAAATCCATTACACCAGCAATGCCCTCACCCAGCCCCACTGGCTTCTGCTGGAGGCTGGATCAACCCTTTCCTTCTCTCCATTGTGGGGCTTGGTGTGGTCCTTTCAGGAAGCTGGTCCATGGATACAGCTGCACCATCCAAACATCCAAACACCAGGTCAGTGGGGAAATCCATGGGCCAACGAGGGACCCTCAAGGGCTGCAGCACATATGGACATTTCTGCATTAAATGACAACCTTGTTTTCTGTTGTGTTTTTCTAAGAGACTGCATGCCTGACCAGACTGCATTTCTTGGTCGGCATCCCATATTTATCCTGTAATTACACCTTTGGACAAAGGCTGCCTGTCTGTGAGGCCCATTTTTTTCAGGACACAGTTTTATTCTATGCTCTGCTTTCACTGTAATGAAATCTGGGGGGCAAGGGGAAGAAAACTCCCCACATCAGGAGTGAAAGCTGTTCTTTCTCAAAAGCTGCCCCAAGAGCAAAGGAGCTTGCACAAGCCCTCTCCTTTTTCCCAAAGAAACCCCAGCCACTGACAACCTTTATGCTTCTCTACCACCCCACAGGGATTAATGCCACAAACCATGTTATCCATAAAAGATAGTTGCCACCACACTGTCAGTCTCTGGGCTCCACTGCTGGAGGAGCCAGAGAATTTCCAAGATCCCTGCAATCCTTATAGCCAGGCAGCTGACACAAATAAAGCTGATAAAGTTTCTTGTTGGCACCTGCCTGGATCGCATCACAATAAGGGATGAATTCCCACAAAATGGCATTCCTGTAAAATTCTCAATGTCTGCTACATGCTTGGCTCTGGAGGGGTAGGAAGGATCTGCATGGCACAAAACCCAAAGGCAGTTGCAGGAGCTGTCTGAGCTGGAGTTTCCCCCAAGGGGAAGGACAGCCCTGCTTGGTCCCTGCTCAGCCCATGCCAGGAGCAGACATGAGCCTGGCCACCTCCATTTCCCCAAAACCTGCCTTGATTTGAGCCCAAATTTGTAGGTGGCAATGGCAGGTGAGGTGAAGCCTGTCACCACAGCACGCTGAGCCTGGCAAGCTCATCCTGCTGTATTGTGCAGGAAAAGAGGAGCTGGGCAGCACCTTGGCACAGAGCACGCTGTGATCCCAGGAAAAAGGAGAACAGCTTTGTGGCACAGCCCTGGGATGGGATGGAGGGAGATCCCAGTTCCCCGTGGCTCTTCTCATGGATACAAAGACCATTTAATTGCAGAGACCATTGCATTTCTCTCTTGGGGTTTTCCCACCCTTTTCTGGCTGGGATCTGTGAAAAATTTATGGGCTGGCATGTACAGAGATGCTGCGTATAAATACACATCACTGGTCCAGCCTGCCCAAAATAGGGTGATTTTGGTGCTGTCGTCCATGGGAAGCAGCTTGTCTTCTCATAGCACTGAAAAACTGGAAATGAAAAGTGAGGTTTTTCAGGGAGAGAATAAATGTAAGTGGAACCTTGTTGATTTCTGCTAAAAGTAGATGTTTCTGTATAAGGTATAAAATAGCCAGTGTTGATGCTTAAAGCAGCCAGGAACTGTCTGAATTGGTTTTTCCAGGTGATTCTTTGCCCTGAACTGACACAATTCCACCTTGGCTGAGCTCCCTGAGGCATGGGGGGTAACCAGCTCACCCAGGCAACATGGGGAGCTGGGGAGCAAGGATGGGCCAGGCAGTTTGTCTAGAGCAATCCCTCATCCCTGGGAGACTCAAAATCCTCCTTTTCCTGAAGGAAAGCCTCCAGGGGCACAGCCAGAGAGCTGCAGCCACCCTGGTGCCACTGGGGCTGTCACAGGATGATGTGCAGGACGTGTCTGTGGGCAGAGGGAATGCGGTGTGTGAGGCTGCTGATACAGGAGAGGACTTGGGGTTTTGCAGACATGGCTGTGAGCCAGAAACAGTCTCCAGCAACTCAGGCTTGGCAGAGGGCCAGGTCTGGCCCAGGTGGGAGAGCTGCTCCCTAGAGAAGGGTGAAGGGAGGAATGTTATCCCTCTATCAGCTGGTCTGGGCTATTGCAAAGTTAGGGGGGCAGGACAAAGATGTAGAGGCTTACAGGGATTTGGCCCAATGCAGAGCAGGGGCACTTGTGGCATCCTAAAGTCTCCCCACGCAACACTGTTGTACCCATCCGTGGATTAATCATCCTCAGAGGGATGTCTCCTAGCTCTGGATGATGTTGGATTACACCTGATGAGGAGAGGACTCACAGACAGGCACACATACCCCTGCTGCCTGTCTCAGAGTGGCAAACTGGGGCAAGAGCATTTCACAGAGCCCCTTCCCTACACCTTTTCCCCCTGCCATCCTGCAGGATGCATTTGGTCCATGGGGCAGCTGTGAGGAAAAGGCCAGGGAGCCTGCAACAGGGCAGGGCAGGGCAATCACTGCCCCAAGCCTGCCCACTTGTCCCTGCCCCACCAGCCACCACCAGCAGAAAAACCTCTCGCTGAGGCTGGTGAATTTTCACCACCTGTGTGCACCCAGCTGGAGAATTATCATCCAAACATCCCATCTGCCAAACCTGAGCCCTGACCTGTACACTGAATGCTCCCACTGGCCTCAGCTTTGGGTATTCTGAGTTTCTTCCTGTTTGCCTGGGGCTGGGAGTGAGGTTTTTACAAAGGCCCCTTTTACCCTCCCTGTTTGCTCTGGGCACTCTTTTTGCCAGGGATCTTTTCTTGCTTGTTGGTGCATCTCCAACTCAGTGGCCCAGAAGATTTTTCCTCCTTTTTTTGAAAGGTTGCCCTGATCTTCTGTTGTCCAAGTGGGTTCACCTGAAGGTAGCCCTCATGTATACCTAGAGGGGGAAAACATGAGGTGACAGGGGAAATTTACAGAGTACTGCTGGAGTAATGGATTGCTCCCAGCAGTTGGTATGTGCTGTAAAATACAGGAAAATGCCTGTCATGAAAAGCCCAAAACTGCCTCTGGAAAAGACAGAGCTGGGCACAAAGGTGCAGAGGAAGGGGGACAGGAAAGCAGCATTTGGGAAGTGGCAACTCATCCTCAGCATCCTCATCTGCTAAGAATGGGACTTTGATCCAGCTTTGCTCCAGGAAGATGTAACAACAAAGAAGTTATACAGGTAAGGAGATCCCTGCCCCTGGGATGGTTTCACACACAAGGGGTGCCAAGCAAGCCTGTCCACGTAATTTTACAGAAGAGCTTAAACCAGATTTAAATTGCAGAGTTCATCCCTTTAGAAATGGAGGTGGGTTTGGTTTTTCACAATTTTTGCACTGAATGGTGCTTCCCCAAAGCCAGCCATTGCCAAGCTCTTCCAGCAGCCTCCTCACACAGGTACCATGCCAGTACCAGGAGAAAAGACAGATCTGGAGGTGTTACCCTGGGCATATTTCCCAGCCTCTGGACATTCACAGCTCCCAGATCTCCTGGCCAGGACAGGTGTTTAGCAGCTCTGAAGGTTTATACTGCACAGATTAATCAAAATTTTCTCCTATTGAAAACTGCAGCATTTCCAGCTGAGTCCTGTGTAACAAACAGCACAACCTGCCCTGGGTGTATTTCAGTGGAGCCATGGCCTTTCCCATCAAGGGCTTTCTCCATTCCAGTTTATTGTTGCCTGTTCCATCCCTCCCTCCCAGCTCTCTTCCAGGCTGAAGAGCGCGGGGTGCAGGAACGTCCCCCGCTCCTGCCGAGCCCTTTGTCACCCTCGTTCCCCAGTCCCGAGCCCCTCCTGTGGCCGAGGCAGGGATGCGCTGGACTGGGACACCGTGTCCCACGTCCCCACGGCCGAGATGGCTGCACCCTCTGGCGGCAGTCCTGGGTCCGGGCCCTGCTTTTGCCGGAAAATTCCTTCGTCGTCTGCCACCCCCAAGGCTGGAGGGCGTTTTGCCGGGAGGGGGTTTTGGCACCGGGCTGTGTTTGGCCGAGGGAGGGCTGAGGAGCAGGGCGGGGGCAGGGGAGTGTGGGAGCGGCTCTGCCAGCTCACAGCACCGCAGTGTGTGCCGCGGCTATTTTTATCCATTTTTATCCACAGGGCCAGCAGCTATATTTATCCAGAATGCCACAGGAGCTGAAAGTCTTCGGGGCAACTTCCGTGCTGCAGAAGAACACGATCGGGATGCCCTTTATACTGCCCACCTACTCCCCTTCCCCTGGGCCCTCTGCCACCTCCTCAGCCTTTCCCTCTTCATGTCCCACTATCTCCACCTTGCTGACGCTGAGCTCGTGTCCCTGCCCATGGTGGGAAGGTTGGAACCAGATGGCCTCTGAGGTCTCATCCTACCCAAACATTTCTGGGATTTTGTGTTCTCTCTTGCACAGCTATCTCAGGGCTCCCTTTCCTGCTCCACTCAGAGCAAATACATGTTTTCTGTGTTTTAAGTTGAACATCAGGAGGAATTTCCTTACAGAAAGGGTTGATTAGACATTGGAATGGACTGCTCAGAGAGGTGGTGGATTCACCATTCCTGGAGGCCAAGTTTAAGAAGAGACTGAGTGCCGGGGTCTGGTTGGCATGGTGCTGGTTTGCTCATAGGTTAGATTTGATGATCTCAGAGGTCTTTTCCTAATTGATTCTGCAATTCTGTAATCTTAAATTTTCCTCTCCAAAAGGCTGTTCATTCGGGTGGAGCGGACCATCCCCCAGCCTGCAGCTTTGTGAAGTTCTGAGCAGAGCTCTCAGTCCGTAAAACCCTCGCTCCCTTCTCGCGGGGGGGGCTCAGGGCAGGTGAAGCGCTCAGCGCTCGGGACACGCTGCTCGCCTGGCAGGAGCCATTCCCTGCCCGCGGCTCTCCTGGCCCGCAGCGCCGAGCCCTGCAAGCCCCGGGTGCCGGCCTCAGGGCTCTGCAAGCCCCGGGTGCCGGCCTCAGGGCTCTGCAGGCCCCGGGTGCCGGCCTCAGGGCTCTGCAGGCCCCGGGTGCCGGGCTGAGCGCCCAGGGCCCGGCTCCGCCCGCGGCTCCGCCCGGGGAGGCCGAGCGCGCCCCGGCACGGCCCCCGCGCCGCGCCCGCGGAGCCGCCGCTCGCCATGGGCTCCCGCCTGTCCCTGGACGACTCCGTGCGGGTCGTGGTGGTCGGGGGCGGCTTCGGAGGGACGGCGGCCGCCAGCCTGCTCAAGTCCTGGGCCGTCCCCTTCGTGCTGGTGGACGTGAGAGATGCTTTCCATCACAACGTGGCCGCGCTCCGGGCCGCCGTGGAGAGCGGTAAGGGCTCGGGCAGCCCCCTGTGCCATCGGCCTCTGCGGAGGGACGCGGGGAGCGGCAGGGAACGCGGGGCTCGCACTGCCTCCTCCGCCCTGCGATGGTGAAAGACTCGATGTTTTCCGTCTGGAAAACAAACACTTGGCACCGGGAGGACCCACAGCCCGTCTGTGGTTAAGCTAATTGCACACCCACTGGGAAAACTGAGCAAAAACTGCTCATACCATCTCTCCTCCCCCCTGCCCCCCCCCCCCCCTTTTTATTTTTATTTCAAGAGTTTAGAAGGTGACTAAGCTAAAAGCAAGAGCAACTGGAAGGGGTGAGTCAGTCGCTTTCTGTACCAGGCCTGGATGATCGAACCCTGTCAGAGAGCTGCTCAGGCCTGTCTGGGCCCGCCCCATTAGTCCCGTCACTGGGGAATGCAGGGGTAAAGGGAACAAGCATCAAAAGGACAGCAAAAGTTTGGTCTGAGAGGCACATTACATGAAAAAAGCCTCTGACACCCAGCCAGAAACTGTCAGGACCACAGCAACATTAATTGGTAAACCAGTATAGGAGATGTAGAGACAAAGCAATGTAGCCAAGAGTATCACCTGACCTGAGGCAAAGTCCTGAAGCTCCTTGCTGGGCAGAGATAACACCTAGCAAAAATCCAGCCCACAGTCCCAGATGGTTGGCATGCTTTTGTCTGAGTAAGAACAGCATGAGAGGAGAAGAGGGGGTGGTTAGCCTCCAGAGAAGGAGAGCTCTCCCATTGTCTCCTCTTCCCACAGGATTTGCCAAGAAGACTTTCATCTCCTACTCGGTCACCTTTGGGGACAGCTTCCGACAAGGCAAGGTCGTGGCCATAGACCCTGGGAGGCAACAAGTCGTGCTCAGTGATGGTGAGGTGGGTGTTGCCATGACCTGGCTGCCTTATGGGATCACCTGCTAGTGCAGGCAGCCAGCCTTCAGCAGGGCGTGTTCCATCCTCCTGAGCAGCTTGGCATCCTTCCCTGCCTGGCCCCATCCCTTCCAGCCCAGCTAAGTGGCCTTCAGCTGTGCTGGAATGTGGGTGTACAGTAAATACCCAACCCCATCTCCTGCTCAGCTGAGCTTTTATTCTTAGATCTGGATTTAGAGCTCAACAATTAAACCTGGGGCTCAGATCCTTATTTAACTGCAGGAAGAGCCAAGAGCAGCAGCATCAATTACTCTTTTCAGCCAGAGCATCTCACCTCTGTTCAAGAGAGAGTGAAGGAGAGAAGTTAGTCTCTGGAACCAGCTGTGAGTGTCCAGGTTATTCCCTGTACATTTAGGGTAATTTCTTTAAAGCTCTCAACTCACCTGAATGGTGCTTAACTCAGACCTTGAGGAACAGTTATTTGGTGTGACCTGGACCAGGTCTCTTCCTAAAGTCACTTCTTGACAGTGACAATTACTTTCCTGGTTACCAGCAAGGGATGGAGATGAGAGACTGAGTGACCAATACCTAGGAGGCAACCACTGCATCCTAGGCTCTGTTTTTAAGAGGTCTAATATCCCATTCTACCTTTTGCCCTCCCAGGAGCTTCACTACTCCCATCTCATTCTTGCAACAGGCAGTGATGGGCCATTCCCTGGGAAGTTCAACCAAGTCATTGACATGGAAAGCGCCATCCAGACCTATGAAGACATGGTTAAAGAGGTGAGGAATCGACTCTTAGGAAATGCTGCCTGCCTTTGTTCAGCCTCCCTGTCCCAGATACCACTGTGGCTATCTGGAGTCAGCTGTGTGTAAGAGAAAGGGACACAGGGAGCAGCCAGGACAAGGAGCTCATCATAGTTTCTCTAGCAGAAGGGGAAACCTGAAATGCTCAACAGTATTACAGGGTAGGCAGGAAGAGTGCACAGGGTACTCCTTTGTTGTTGCCTCTTAATGAGCTAAGAGGTTTATTGCTGTTGGGCCTGTGCTGTGTCCCAGAATGTTCATGGATGGCTGAAGGTGTCTGGCTTCCTGCCCTTTGCAGTTCTCTTTTAACACAAATTTTCTCTTGAAGATTGAGAAATCTCAGCGCATCCTGGTAGTGGGAGGTGGCGCTGCTGGAGTGGAGATGGCTGCTGAGATCAAAACGGAGTACCCGGACAAAGAGGTAGGAGAATCTTCATCACAATTAACTGCATCCTGGTTCTGACACTGTTCCATGATGGTGCTGCTGGAGGCACCTGAGATGACTGCACACCTGGTTGCTGAGCCTGTAGCCAGCCACCAGCAAGGACTGTGGCACTAGGTGCCCCTTCCTGGCTTGTTCTTGCAGGAATCAATTAGGGTGGAGGGAGCCCAGCTGTAGCTGCTCCCACCTTGCACACAGTGAGTCCTGTGCTGTTCCTGCGTCCCCATTTGCTGTTTTGTCCCCAACAGGTCATCCTCATTCACTCAAAAACTGCACTGGCTGATGTGGAGCTGCTGCCCAGTGTCCGTCAGGTGGTGAAAGAGATTCTCCTCAGGAAAGGAGTCCGGCTGCTGTTAGGTATGTCCTTAACGATGCCTCTGAACACCTACAAGCTGCTCTTCCTTTAGCCAAAGCATCTCCTGATGTCCTCTTTCTGACTTTTTTGGTTACACGTGGCTCCCCTGAATTCCTCTTCCTCTGGGTTAGCTGGAAACCACAGCCTAGCAAAGGTTTGTGACCCAGGGCTCTCTGTTGCAACAGGTGAAAAGGTCAGCGACATAGAAAGCCTCAGGCCAAACCAGTTCCAGAAAGACATGGTAGTGAGGACAGAGAAGGGCACCGAGGTGGTTGTTGACATGGTGGTGCTGTGCACAGGGATAAAGATTAACTCTTCTGCATATGCTGCTGCATTTGGTAAGTGAAAAAAACCAAACCACGGGGTGGGGAGAAGCAGCAGTTCTCCAGTGTGTGGTGCCTGAGGGGTGTGAGGTGGGGAATGGACTGTGCACAACCTGTGGGGGTGATTCATCCTTGAAATATCAAAGGATGATGCATTGCACGAGACTGCAGTGATTAACTACAGCAAGGCAAAAAGCAGCTCTTCCCTGACACACAAAAAAGAGGGTGAAAAACAACCCCTCACTTTGTGTCAATTACATCGGCAGCATTTTGGGGTCTCAGGCCACAACAAGCAACACAAAGCTGCTTCTAAAAACCCGCTGTTTGGCAAAACAGGTGACAAAATGGCAAGTAATGGTGCTCTGAAAGTTAACAAGCACCTCCAGCTGGAAGGCTATGAGAACATCTATGCCATTGGGGACTGTGCAGATCTCAAAGAGCCCAAGATGGCCTACCATGCTGGGCTGCACGCCGACATCGTGGTGACAAATATCATCAACAGCCTGACACAGAAGCCTCTCAAAACATACGAGCCAGGTAAGGTCAGCTCCTAGCATAGCACCTGGCCTTAGGTGTTGGGCTGCTTTTCTGCAAGGAACAGCTGTCTTAACTCATGAGACTCTGAACTCACTGTGAAGGAACTCAAAATTGGGGTAATGTCAACTTGTTGCTCAGCTTCATATTAGTCCTTGCCAAAGACACAGTGTAGGTATTAATTACCTGTCTCAGTCTACCATACAACGTGTTCTTTCTTCACTAATATATTGATAAATCTTCTGGTGGGAGTCTGCTATTCATGGAACTTAGTTTCTTTTCTTAAAATTGCTCACTGCCCAATTAAATCTCGGGAGTAAGATGGCTTCCCTTTTCCTTCTTTCTCCCCTTAAACTACAACAAACACAAACTGAACAATCTGGTCTCGAAAATCTAGCTGGGTAATGGGTCTTCTTCTTCATGTGCACTGATGTAAACTTACCAGAACTATGCTGAATGCTGTTCCATGTGGATGCAGGGGAGCTGGACAACAGCTGCTTCACTTACACCTCTGCATCTTCTTTGCAGGGTCACTAACATTCCTGCTTTCCATGGGCAGGAACGATGGTGTGGGCCAGGTGAATGGTTACTATGTGGGACGTCTCCTGGTGACCATTGCCAAGAGCCGGGATCTGTTTGTCTCCAAGAGCTGGAAGACGATGGGGCAGACAATGCCCTCTTGAGAGGGCACCAGGAACAATCCAGCAAGGGGTACAGCAGCTGGGACAGGGTGAGAGTGCACTTCTATTGCTTGGACTGACTCATACTGTCCTCTGCAGCACCTCCTCAAGCCACCTGTCACTGTGACACATAAAAGGGGTGCCTGCCTTGCTGTGAAGGGGAAGGAGGCACTTCCCAAATGAGCTGCACAGAAGTTCCCATGATAAAAACCAGGGAAGAAATGTTTCTTTTACTCCCCTCACTGAGAGAGCTCTGGGCAACAAGCTTGGCTTACCTTGATTTGTAACAATAAACACTGTGTTTTCAGAATCTCTGTGGTTTGTTTGTTATGTGGATTGGGTTTTTTTTTTTCCCTGGCTTTCTCTATTCTTGCTCTTCTAAGAAGGACCTGCTTCTTACAGATCTGGCATCTGCTCTGCAGCTTGCAGGGAGAATGGCTCACAGTGCTGCCAGGGTAATGCCTGTCTGAAACCTGGAAGGGGATATGGTAAGCCTGGAATGCAACAGAATATAATTCAGCTTTGTGTCAAAATCTCTTCAGCAGCTTGAATTACATCACTTATAGCACCAAACTTCAGCCAGAAAAGCTGCTGGTTGTGATAGGGCAAGCACTGAATTACAGATGCTGCTGCTATTTTTTTCCTTCTTTTTTTTTTTTTTTTTTTTTTTTAGGGTGAGAAATCCCCAGAGCAAAATTAGGGTTTATAATAATAACCACACTTGACACATCTTTTTCTTTTTTTCTTATAAAACAAACAAAATCACCATGAAATATTCTCAGTAATTACAGAGGTTATTGTGAGTTAAAAGCAAAACAGAAGCTCCTCATGCATCACTTCTAAAACCCTTTTCACCTCTCTGTGGGCTGAAGGCAGAAGTTTACCATCTATCCTCAAGGGAGGGGAAAAAGGAGCAGAACATTTTTAAGAGCTTTCTTGAAAGTGGCGAGTGTGTGTGTGTGAAGAAATCATCACTACAAATCTAAAATGAGGTTACTCTTTAAAAACCTCTAAAGTAACAAAGGACACTAAACTCCTGAAGCCAGATGATAATTCAGTTGCTTAAGGTGATAAAAATGGCATGAAAAAATCAGACTAAACCCCTCTCATCTCTAATCACAGCTCTCCATCGAGTCACAACACATCACACTACTACCACTCCCCCTCATCGTCACATTGAAAAAATAAAACCCACCTCTAATGCTTTTAATGCTACTCAAGTTTGTTGAAAAATAAAGTTTCATTTGGCTGCCGTTGCTACTTCGTGTCTAGCTTGGCCATTTCCTGCACATAGATGCCAATGCTTTCACTGTCGAAGAGCAGAAAGTAAATGTTCTTCAAGGAGGAAGAGCTGGTGCCATCAAAATGGGTGGAAATAGCTCTGAGGGTCACCTGGGCTGCCGTCTGCTTTGGGAAGCAGTTTCTGTGTGGTCAGGGAAGAAAAGAGAGCGGGTGAGTGTTGGGCAGGGATGCTGAGAGAAGCCAGCCACAGGCTGCTAAGACAGTGCCACTTGCAGTTTGGCAAACCCCAAGGATTTGATAGCAATGTTCACATGCTGCTGAATTAAGTTTCCCGTTTTCATCTGCTTCTATTTCTTATGACCAAATTTTTTTTATTTACAAATTTTTATTTGTGTTTATTTTTATTTTTTATTTACAATTATTTAAATTTTTTTTAAGCTTGCCCTTAGAATTAAATTTTTCCATGCCATGCTGGGCAGGCTAAAAATTTCGAAGGGTGATTTTTTTTTTTTAGCTGAGAACTGGAAAAAAAACAAACCCAAAACATCACCTACTTAGCTGACTTACTTGCTCTGTCATTAAAATACTTTGCTTGGGTTTCCTTTGAAAATAATTGAAATTACAACTCCAAGCCATATTAAGGTCAAGATGCATTCATTCACTCCTCTTGATGGTAATTCTCTAACCTACAATCATATTTATATTAAAAACCATCAAAAAGATCTAGCACAGCTGAAGTATCCCAATGTTACATCAGTTACTGTGAATAGCCCCTAAGATGGGACAGAGGAAAATGAAAATTCACATAACTGATACAGTATAATTCTTTATCTACCCAAAAAACCATCATTTCAGGTGCAGACATGGAGGTAGAGTAAAATGACAGCAAAACCAGAAAGTCCTATTTGAAAAACTGCCTTTTTTCAGGAAATTTTGAGGTGTAAAGTGTACACCAGCAGTACCTGGTAAGGCTCTCTATTTCTGTTAGGAGGAGTAATTGTAAGAGAAGCAGAGTGAAATGAAATAAAGCAGCAGAAGGATCTGCACTAAGATTAATGGTCCAAGAATGGATTATTCTGCTTCTGTGCACTTAGAAGACATGAAGTCTAGAAACTATTTCTATTGGCATTAAAAGCTATAGTTAATTTTTATATTAAAGACTGTTAAAACAATGCCTCACATTTTGCTTTCATTGAAAAGCTAAAACAAAAAGATCTGTATATTTAAAAAAAATGACAAAAAAATAGCCCTCTATTTATTCTTTTGTCCTGATCCATAAAAATATTTTTTGCTTTGAGGAGTATCTGTATAAAAATGGCATTTTCACCTCCTGTGTACTCAGTGATGTGTGGTGATTTCACTGATCAAATGCAATTTTGCTTTCATTTTATTCACTGTCAGGCCAACACAACAGGACTCTACTATGTTCTCTACTCTATGGGCACTACTACCAAAATCAATAGACACATTTCAAAATAAATATAAGCACACAAACTCTAACACAAAATAACAACTACTGCAGTTAGCAGTAAGATCTCTTGTCGTCAGAGACCAACAAACCATTGATTTTAAAAGAAATTTGAAAGAAAAAAAAAATACTTCAGATTTCTTAGTCAAGAACATTCTACTGCTAGTTATTAAGAAAGAAATGTGTGGCTTCACACTTGGTTTAACAGTTTTCCCTTTTGAAAGCAGATCTACATTTGAGAAACAGATTTTCTTCTGAAAGGTTTTGTGTGACAAGTCATTTCAATATCTATTATCAGGAGGGCTTAAGTGAACACCCCACATCCAAGCAGCTCAGGTGGCATCACTGTAACCTGCTTTCAGTATTATGCTGCTAGAATCTCATTAGTACAAATGCAGGTTTCATAAGGCTCCCCACAGCAAAATGAAGGGACACAAAACCCGAGGTGGTGCAGGGGAATGAAAATGACTGCCTAGCAATAGAAAACACAGCAAGCCCACTCAGCTCTCCTGTGGCTTGGCTAATTTCTCTCTACAAAGGCTCTCTGGCAGTTTCATGCAAACACTGCACTTCAGGCTGGATTCCCCTGGAGCTGCTCTGTGTCAGATGGCAGCAGCAGAGGCAGGGTCACAGAGCAGAGGGCACCTCTCTGTCCCAGCAGCAGCTCTGACAGCCAGTTCCACCTCTGCTAGCTGACTCAGGGAGTCCTACCTGCCGCTGGGAAACGGGGGGAAAGCCACAGACTTCAACTTCTTGTCTTCTGCAGCTGTTAAGCAGTTCTTGACAGTCTCCTCGAGCTGCTCTTCACACTTGTCCGAGCCCCACTGTGGGATGTGACAGTGGATGACAAACTTTGCTGCTAGGCCGCTAGACTGAGTGAGTGCAGCTAACACAAATGAAAATATAACATTTAGTTTGGAACAGAAACCGCCCTGCACGACCTCTCAACCCAAAGTACCTTCTTAATTACCTCACCTCTCCAAAGAACCACATTTGGGATTAAAATACACCACAACGGCTCACTTGCAGTAATAACCTGTCTCACCATTCCTTCTGTGATCAATTGTTATTTCTTTGGAGACCAAAGAACCCAGGGCTCATTTGGTTAGCACACAGCTACTCAATAATGGTTTTTAGCTCTCTCATTCAGCACAGCCTCCGGGTTTGTTTTATGCAAAGTACAAAAACCTCACCCTAAACACAGTACCAGTAATCCCCACAGACATTTCTGCAGTGCTGTCACTGAGGGCTTTTTACAAATATCCTGCATCATCATCATCACTTTTACAATTCCAGAGAGTTGGGGAGTAATATGTAGACTCACTTTGCAGCTGGGTAATTTCACACAAGGACATAAAAATCAAAGTTGTTTGTTGAAAGTCCCCACAAATTATGTCCAATTAGGAATCCCAGATTAATTTTTCAGAAAGTGTGATATTTCTCCAGGACCTGCAGAGCTTACAGCACAGCATTAGTTTGCTTTTGTTGCAATTGTCACCATCAGCACTGCTGAAAGTCTGGGTGTCTTGGTAATCTCAAGTTAAGCACTCTGAAATCAGTTGTGCAGGATGGAATTAGCCCAAGGATGAAAATCCTGGATTTATTCACTTGTTCTCCATCACAGAGGAATTCTGTTGCAGGCACAGAGGAATTCTGTGCTACTTAAATTTTAACCAGCTGTCTTAATAGTATAAAAGGAGTCTATCTTCTAGTTAGGTAGTGATGTTGACAGAGAAAAGTAGTTTACTTTGATTTTATGGCATATAAATTTGATTTGATATGAAAGTCAAGCAAATTATCTTGTATAAAAATTTCTCTGTCATTTCAGATGATAAAATTAGGCTACTCAATTAGGAATTTTCCAAAACTAGACTATTTAAAGCAATTATTTTTTTGGGTATAGAGACACTAAGCCAAATAAAGCATATTGTAACTTTTCTCCATCTGTCTTCCAGACACCTTCAATGGGTTTAATCTGTCCACAAAGGAAGTACAATATGAGGGCCCAAACTATTCCCAATGTGTTAACCCTTGAAGGGAGCTCCTCTAATAAAGAAGCTGCAGTGCCTGAGCAATTGCTTTTCCAAAAAGCTTGCCAGTTCTGCAGATCATATCACGTCTTCATTTGTGCTCAAAGTAAGGTAATTATGTGGGTTATATACATTCATCAAATATGCATAAAGGAGAATAATTTATGAAATATCACTAATTTTTCCTATGCCTCATATGTTAGGCTGAGAGCTGTTTCTGATTCTCACTAAGGCTGCAGTACAAACAGGGCAGGAAAGATTTCCTTAATTTTTGGGCTCCCATGGACAGAAATTGCCTAAGACAAATTGATCAGTCTCAAGACAGAATGTACACAGCCCACAGGTATCCTGTTCTTCCTTTTTTTCCCCTCAGAAGTCTGCCCACATCAGCAACAGCTTTGAGGAAACATTTACATCACATAAGCACAGACACATAACAACAGGAACAGATCAGAATGTCCAGAGAAAAGAACATATAAAATGAGCCATGTCCAAAAGAGAGCAGAGTATCCTTCTTACCTTCAGCTACTTCCAAAGGTCCTTGAGATTTGCGAAGCTCTTTCACTGTTTCCAAGAACTCTTTGCCTCCAGCCTTTTCCAGTGCCTTGCCTGCAAGGACACAGAGCAAAAGGCCTTGGCTTCAGAGTATCAGTGTGGAAAAACAAGTCTGCATTATTTAAAAAAAACACTGTACACACACTATCTTGTCTCTCTCTATCAGCAGCAGCTGATTTTTATGTTTACCACTCTGCCTAGACACAGATAAAGTTAAGTTTTCATAGTTTTGTAGAGCCCTGTATGCTGTTACTGGAAATGACTTTAATACAAATATCTGTAACAAAGATATTTACTCTGACTCGTGGCTAAAATAGTGTGGAGTGGGATTTTCAGGACTCAGGACTTTCAGCCTCCAAAATGAACCCAACATACAAACTCTACTACTTACTGAAACAAACACAGCTGGGATGCCAGTGAAGGTCTTGATGACTAAAACACAATGATCCAAAAGCTTGTTACTAGATTCTGTGTCCCCTGTGTGAATGGCTGAATAGCTTTTTACCTCCTCCTGCTTAAATTTCCATATCTGGAATAACAGTATTTCCTTATTTTGCATGAGCAGTATAAGGCTTTGTACATGAGTATTTCTAAATTATGTAACATCCTACAATGAAAGTCATAGTTAGAAGTGTTAATACCATATAATTTTGCAATGCAATTTTCAGATGTAAAAATAAGCCAATAAACACCTCAATAATAATTATTTACACCTTTGCTGCTCATGTGCTCCAACAAATCATCTGTGTTTTGCTTGTCATTAAAAGCAGACAAATTAGTGATTAGCCTGTTGTACCTAGTCAGAGCCAGCCTGATTTTCAGAAGCTGTAAGTGATATTTTATGGCCTGGGGTAGATTCAGATGAAACAGGATGAGATCTCAGCAGACAGCCAGTAGACCAGCTACTGCTCCAGCTCTAGATGTGTTTTTTCTGCATGTACAGAGCCTCACCTATTTCCTCCTTGAGGTCTATTTCAGCAGTCGTGGGGTGAACAATGCCTTCTACTTTCATGGAGCCAATATGGCTGATGTCACTCTGTGTCAGAGAAAGCTGAAAAATAATAATGAGTGGGGAGGAACAAATAAATAGTAATCCCAGTGCAAAATCATTTTCATACCAAAAAGCTGAAGTGAAAGAAGGCTGGATTCAGCCTTTCAGAGACCAGCTATTTTATTCTGTTCAGTACTGTGACTCTGACTTTTAGCTTCTAATTAATTAATTTGCACACCACTCAGACTATTTGGTGATATGCCCACAACTTGGAAGCTTGCTCCAGAGGAAGTTAGTGCTAGAAAACAAATGTTCTAACATCACAATTTGAAGAAAAAAAGGCTGATTTTGGAAATGCTTTGGTTTAAGAGAAAAGCATCCTTCCCTTCATGCCAAGCCCCAATCTGTTTTTTTTTTCTTTATTACCTTCTGTCCTGGCACAAGGCTTTTGGAGGACAAGATAGTGAAACCATCCCCAGGTCCATCTTCAGTTGCTGAATTTGAAGCTCCTTCTTTTTCATTGTCCTTTTGTTTGTTCTATTTGATGGGAGGGAAAAAAAAAAAAGCAAGACATCTCAAAGGAAACAAAATAATCACCAACTAGCACAATTCAATAACGGAGAGATTTAATAACTTAGTACCAATCTTATCTTCTCAGATCAATACATTACTCATAGCCTTGTAATCCCCTAAGGTTATGTAACAACAGAGGTCTGCACTGTTTATATAATGCTAAATCAGTGGTTCATCTGAGGAATTACATGCTTTTGTAGTCACATTCAGAGACAGGGCACCCACACCCATCTGTAGATTTACTGACAATTAAGGTTGTATTTACATGGGTGGGCATGTGTTGGTTTATTTTCGTTGCTAACAGAGCAGAACCTCATATTAAATCAAACTTAGTCACTAAGTAACCCAGTCAAATGCTCCAATTTGAAGAATAAACAACTTTCTGGTCTGAAAACCAAATGTTTAAGTCTCAGTTATTAAGCAATAAAGCCTTCTTATAGCTTACTTTCAGGAGCAGCAAACCTACCAGTCCTAGAGTAGGTTTAGTCCTAGAGGGCTAAAGGAGCATCTCCTCACATCTCTCAATATTTGCTTTAAGGTATGTCAAGGAGCTGCCACCTCCTAACAAGTCCAAACTCTGCATGTGCACAATTCAAAGTAAGGTGGTAGCTGAGATCAATGCACAGAGGCATCCAATTAAACATCACATTAAGCAACTCTGTTTTCTTTTTAAAGGCTGTTTCTGCATATTATCAGCTATGGAACTGTATTAAAACTTTGAAAAATATGCTTAATCCAAGTTTTAAAAGTTTAAGTCAAAGCTTGGTATCATTTAACCCTACCCAATGAAAAACTCAGCAGTGTTTCAAGGTACATGCTTTGGAATGACAAACCAAGAGCACAGATCTGGGTTACTGCTTTACCAAATTAATCCATTTTGGATAGTGATAGTAGATGGGTAATTCTAAGGGAAAGTGCAGTGGTCAAGTTCTGATTGATTTATTCTTCTTTTAAAACTCACTAACAGCACAGCTAAGAACACATGAAACAAAGAGCTTGGTCACAATGACATTGATGTTCCATGTCAAATTCTCTGGACAGTGAAAAACCTTTAACAGCAGCCCAGTAACTATGCAATGCTGAAGGCATGACATCTCTCTGGTGGAAAATAATTTAGAATACAGCTTCCTTTATTTTAAAAGGGTTCACTGCCACAGAGCTAGTGTGGGGATAAGAGATTCCACACAATTATCAAGAGAATATTGCAGAGGGTGACATGGAATCTGTCCCTGCCCGTGCTTACCTTTTTGGACGTCCGGGCCTTGGTAGACTTTGCCTTCTTCCCACTCTTTTTGGTCACCATGGATTTCCTCCCCTTCTTCTCAGGAGCAGGGGAAAGGATGGTCTCAGATTTGCCTTTGGCACCCCTTTTCTTGGCTAGAAGCTCAGGCTGAATTCTGGGCAGGACACCTCCACTTGCAATAGTCACACCTTTGAGCAGCTGCAAGGACAAGCAGAGCGTGGAAGCATATTACAGATCCTCTTAGTCTGCACCACCAAAAACAATTAGGGAGAAAATCCACAGTAACAAGGAACTTGGCAGGTGACAGCAAAGTCAGCCAGCACGTCCTGGAGAATTCTGTTGCTGTACAATCATTCCTACCCCCTCTCAGTGCAAACCTGCCCTTGGGTGACTCACAAGCAGTGAATAAGGGTAAAAGAAGAAGAGTGTCTGTGGGCTACTTAAAAAAAGGAGTGCACCACAGCCCTGCTCAGAGGAGGACTGGATGCAGATCTCTTTGGCAGGAAAACAGATGCAGTGAAAGCAAGGAAAAGCTGCAAGGACCTGCTTTGCAGGCTAACAACAGGAATGGGCTGTGATACCATGTAGAGGCTAAAGTGGCTAATTCCTAAGAGACAACACTGGATCTAGATCCCAGGTCACAGGTCACCAGAAACACGGACCTGGGAAAGGGCTGGTAGTGTTAGCATACTTTCTCTTCTGGCCTGTTTTGTATTTTTACTCCACTTGACTGGAAACAGAGCCACACGACTTCATGGGCACCACATTTTCATTATTTAAAGCAGTCATATTAAGTGCAGGAGTATTCAAAGTGTGAATGACATCATCCATCTTCACACAGAGGAGACACTCTAATGCTGACTGAACCTTCTCAGCAGCCCTGAATAGTACAATCTGCAGGCCATGCTGTGATCTCTGTCCTCACTCAACAAGTTTAGCACAAGTGATCCCACAAGTGATCCCAGGAGTCAGAGTGCTGAAAACCACAGTTTGGGCAAACAGACAGGGAGGCAGCAATAGCAGAGAGTGAGCCAGATCCCTACACAACATGGGCCTCACAGCCAGTATAATAGAAACCACACATTTCTACAGCTTTTGGGAAAAGGTCTTGCACATTTTCTTTAAGTACTGAATGTCCCTGAGGAAAAAGTGAAGCATGAAGGCTATTAGTTTCAACAGGACTCATAGGCTAAGAAGAACCAAAGTTTTTATGTCCATAAGATTTAAGGTGAGGTATCTCAGAACCTTAATTTTTGTTTGCTTTAAGAGGGCACAACCTTCTGCTCCAATAACTGCGATCTCATTCTTGTCTCAGACTAATCTGTTTCTAACCTTCCCTGGTAGCAGCTTCACTCCAGCCACAGCACACAACTCCTGCACCAAAATGTAAACAGGCACCTGATTCAGCTCCTCATCATTTGCAACTGCCAGGAGGATGTGTCTGGGGGCAATCCTTCCTTTCTTGTTGTCCCGCGCCGCGTTTCCTGCCAACTCCAGGATTTCGGCTGTAACAAATCAAGATAAAAACCAGTAAAAAAAAAAAAAAACAGCAGCTTAGGTACATGCTGCATACACATTTTACACTGCTTCTTAATATCCATTTACCTTCTCAGGGATGTTTCCAGATTTAAAGGGTTCTCACTAGAGAAAGGCAGAAATCAAACCCCACTCAATAGATCTGTAAATTTAGATAAATTCATTTGTCTTTCCTAAAGGAGAAAATATTCTAGGCTTGGTCCACATATTTTCTTTTAAGAGTCTCAAGTCAGACTTCTCTTGCAAAAAGGCAAAAAAAACCCACTAAAAATGTACATCAGCAGCAAAATTTATCAGCATCCCTGTGACAACAGAACAGTCAAGCATGCAGTGAAACCCTCAACCTGGAACAGACAGCTCTGACAAACAGCAAGGATTCTCAGGACCAGGGAAGATGAAGACTGAGGTGCATTTGAAGAAATACTTGGAAAGCCAACACACTAGCCAGGCACTGCTGGAATTCTGCATTAAAGGGCACTGAAAATCTGTGAGAAGCTTCATTTCAGAACAAGATATGAAAGGTTTGATCCAGATGCAAGCAGAGACAACGTGAGAGCTTCAACGCATGAAATATTGATAGAAGGGCCCTTCTACATCTCTGGGAACAGGAGGTCACTTCAAAGGTAGTTTCTCTAACTACCAGTGAGAGAAACAGTAACATTTATACTGTAACCAAAGTCACTGAGCTTTTCCTAAGAGCTTACAGAAATTCAGACACATCTTCCCAAGTTTATTTGGACTGTAGCAATCAGTATAATTCATTAGCTTACATAGTTTGGCCTCCACTCAGAAGTTATTTCTCATATAAGAACTGTACTGAAACACTAAGAAGGAAGGAGAAAGGAATTTTTTTCCCTCCAATTACTCCTGAAAATCATATCCACATTTTTTTTTAATTTTAAAAGTATACAGTGTCCCTGTCTTCTGGGTTTTATGAAAATTACAGCCAATGAGTAGCCTGTTGATAACTTATTATTACATCCTACTCCTTTGTACAAACTACATAAAGAATTATCACTATTATAAAAAGAAGGACTTTCATGAAAAATCTAGTGGAAATGTACATAATGTTTGGCTAAAATACAAATGATTTCAGCATGAGGCTTAGCTCTGGCTCATGGGAAAAATACAAGCTTTCAATTCCACTCAGAAAAACAAAAGTACAAACTTGTCTTCCAGTTTTCACTGCTACACAGCACACATATTTAACTGAATGTTGGACATGTAAAAGCCTTTTTTTTAAATTTATATGCATATTCACAGTGAATTGTAAAAGTTAGGGCAGGAACCTCTCAGCTCTAGCATTTCCTAGTCTGTCCTGGATTTTAAAGGAGGAAACTGCAAAGAGATCCCACATAACCCAGCTGTATTCACCCCCATGGGGCTGGAAGTGTCAGACCCTCTCCCAGACCTCTGCCAGCAGATCTAACACAGTAGCAGACAGCAGGAACAGATTCCATCCATTGTGCAGACCAGCAGAGAGCAAGAAAAGAGACCCAAGCTCCTCCAGTGGGATTTGCAGGTGTGTGCTGACAGCAGAGGAAAATTGCATCAGGAGGCAAAAAAAAAATCCAAAAAGCAGCACATACTTACCTGTGTGGGAACTGAAGTTCTTTCAGGTGTGCCAACAGGCACATCCTGCTACCTGTGTGCTCACCCCACTGCCCCAGCTTTGGATCCTTTGGCCAGCAGCATCCTGATGGTGCACTCTTAGTCCTCTGCCTAATGTTAAGAGCAAAAAAGGCAGAACACTCAAATGCCAGCCATCCAATGCCAGGACCCTGGGAAGAAGGGAATCCGAGGCAGAGGTGATGTATGGCAGATTGTGGAATAGATACATGACTTACCAAAGGATGCCAAACATTTGCATAGTAAATGATTGCCTTACCTCCTTCTAGTGAAGGTTTCTATGCATATTTTTTCTAATGGTGGAGGCAGGGGCTCATAATCTTAAGAATAAGAAATGGCATTTACAGAATACAAGATCAAAACTGGAGGCTTCAGCTATCACATGCTCTGCTAACAATAAAAGATCCCTAAAGAAACTGCTTTACATTTGAAGTAGAAACTTCTTAACAGCTGAGGTTACCAAAATTCTAAAAATACTGATCTGAGAATATAGGTCTTATCATAAATAGGAATATAGAATATAGGTCCTATACCATAACAAGCTCTCTTGGAACTGGGCATCTTGATATTTTCAGCCATAAATTGGTTTTACTTTGTGCTCTAACTACAGGCATTAAGAATTACATTGAAATCTCAAATAATATTGCTTCCTGCAAGAGTCAAAATCCACAAAGATGCCTCCACATCAGAAGTTTAACTTCAAATCCAGACATCTTCAGAAGCATATAACTCTCTTCCAGCAGAGACAAGCTGCAGCCAAGCTATGACCTGAATGGGATTACATCTTGTCACCCTGTGACATACAGGGAAAAAGAGGTTTCTTTAGCTGATGGATCAGCAGATTTGAAATATCTGGGAACTAAAGCATCCTATCCATGCCAAAGGTTTTTGTTCAGCTGAGCTTGTAGGAAGGTGGACTGCTAAGAAAGGCTGTGAGAATTACTGATAGCAAATTGGAAATATTTCATACAGGTTGTCTTGTTTTCCACTTCCCCTTCAGGAGAAATTCTGTCAGCTCCTGTTACACTACCACATAAAATCTACCAGCAATACCTTTATTCTGCAAAAATCTATTAATGATGGAGTCCTTGTCCTCCATTTACAGGTGGAAAGCTGTCTGCTGGATTTGTCTGCATGGCAGATGAGCCAACAGGCAGAAGAGTGTTCCAGGTGATTGCTGTGAAGGAGGAAGCCTTTGCTGGTGGTGTGTTCTGCCCTAATTTAGAGAGGATGGCTTTCCATTGAGATCTTCCAAAAGTTCCTCTGAACATGACTTGTGCTTCCTCATCAAGGGGCTTCTGTATTCTCTGCCTACTTTTTGGGAACGTGCCCTGTGGGACATATGCAGTTGATGTTTGATTTAGGTGGTTGTGCCTGCAGTCAGCTCTGTGCACACTCAGAGCATGAGTCTGCTGCAAAATCCATCAACCAGATGGGACTCAGGCCAATTTTTCAGAGAATTTTAACTCTGAAGCCAGTGGAATTCTCAGCAAACACAACCTTCTGGATAGGAATTGAACTGCAGTTTTACAATATGATTTTCAAGCCTAAAATGTAAAACAGCATAGGGAGATTAAAAAGACAGGTTTAGAACAGTGAGGAGATCTTCACATTAGCTGACCAGCTGAGGTAAAAGTACCTCTTCCTGAGATTCCACCACCATTGCTGGCATTTTAATGATGGGATTGAAAGGCAAAGTGCAGATTTGGGAGTGATAACGGCTGTGAGGTGCTGCCATGATCAGTCTTGCTTACAAAGGAAAAAAACAGGGGTCTAGTATCTCTGTGACACAGAACACACACCAAAGCCAAACAGCAGTCTCAACTGGGAGTAAGGATGATCCAGATGTATATGCAGCCTCTGGCTGATGCCAGCCACGAGGCTCAGTGCTCTGGGGCAGCACAAGCACAGGCCAACAGCAGACCACACAGGACTGGTCACTCCCAGAGATCTGCTGGTCCGTGCCAGCCCTGGAGGAATGCAGGCACTCAGGTGGTTCTGGTTCTGTTTGACCCTTCCAGCCTCATCCACCTTTCCCCTATCCCAGCCTTGACTTGCTTCCCCACAGCCCCAATCTCCTTTCCCACCAAGACTTCTATCTCAGCACCTTTCCTGGACAGTTACCATTTTTCCTGTCTACTGTGGCTCAATATTCCTGCCCAGGTTATTCATAACCAGCACACCCTCCATCCAATCCTTGGCCTATTTCCTATTTTTTCAACTTGGTCTCCAGCTTCCTGGCAGGATATTAGGCATTCCTCAACATTTATTTACCTACTGGTCATCAGTCCAGCTCTCCCCAGCAGCCAGCCTATCCCTGCCCCTAACATCAGTCCTATTTTTTCAACTTGGTCTCCAGCTTCCTGGCAGGATATTAGGCATTCCTCAGCATTTATTTACCTACTGGTCACCAGTCCAGCTCTCCCCAATTTCCAGACCTATCCCTGCCCCTGTGTCTAACATCAATATTCTTCTTCCATAGCCACTGCCTCCCCACAATGTTATGATTTGGGAGCAGAGAGAGGCTGGAATATGTTCAGGGAGGACCAAGTCTTCAGAGATTTTAAATGTTAAAGAAGTCTCTGCTGAGCATGGGCAACCTGTGTTTCATCAAAGTTAGAGCCTGGCCAAAGAGAGCAGATTTCTCTGAGGTGGCAGAGACCACCCTTCCCCTTTTATAAAGCATCAAATCCCTGCTCAAACACTGAGAAGCACTCAGGGGTTTAGAGGAGGAGTTTTCATGAATGTTTTAACATTAAAAAAAAAAATCATCCTGCTTCTGTGAAGCAGCTAAAAAGTGACAGTCTCTTACTGCCACCCTCCCAGATTTAGCCTGAAGCAGTTCCCCTGCATGCAGCCTTTCATCCCGAGGAACCACCACTTCACAGCTGCAAATCCAGGAGAAGAGAATGACATTTGTAATAGAAAGATCAGATAATGTTAAGAAAATTTAGCTGTTTGACATATAATACCCCCTTCGACAACGTCCTTGAAAAAACCTATTTTGTTTCCACAGGCTTCCCAAAACCAAAGATTTTATACACCTGTAATATTAGGAATAACTAGATCAGCAAGGCTAGATGCTGCAACACTTTTTTTTTTAACTGAACTCTCCAGCTTTGTAATATTTCCAAACAAAACTCTGGACAGAGCACAGGAACTTTGGTTTGGAAAGAACACAATCCACCAGCAATAGATGTTTGCTCTGAAACATTACTCCATTCTATCACAATATATACAGGAGTTCTCTGCTGAACCAAGCAGCTGAAAATAGCATTCCCTTACAATTTATGTGGGCTCCCAGCCTACACCTCTAGCAACCTTCTTGCCTGGTTGACTACACATTCTTTTTTTTCTAAAGCAAAGTGTAGGCCCACACATAATCTGCTCATATCAGATTAATGATTTAAATTAAACTGCACTTACTAGCCAGGAGCAGAGCTAAGACATACTTTGTTCCAGTCCAGGTAATAGGCAAACAGTGCTGACCACAAGTCAGTCTGCACCACTGAAATGTTGCACATACCAGATGTGCTGCTGACAATTTATTACTGCACCTTGTAGAAATTGCCACAGCTCAGAACAAGCATCTCCACATGTTTATTCTAGAAATATCTCCCTGTATAGTAGGAGAAGAAAAAAAGTATCTCCCTCCAGACAGGAGGTCAGCAGAGCCACAATGCATCACATTATGTTATAAAAGTTACTGTGATTTCTTCAACACAAGCAATACTTTGTCACTCCAGCTCCAGAAGTAGCCTCAGGGAAAAAAAAAAATATATTTATTCATGTCCTGGAATGTACTGCCACAAACATGGAAATTTTTGCAATCTACTATAAGGCTTGATGATAAATTTAATTTTCATAGAGAAATTGTGAAAATAGTGAAATTTATTAGTGAGATCTCAGATTTTCTCCACACCTTTGAAAGAAAATAATGCTTTTATTGTCTGGTAATGAGAACAAGTTTCACATGTAAAAAAGACAGTAGTGTTTACATAAAACCTGTTGCATGGACAACCAGACTCCATGCAAGCCTCTTCATGCCACCTTGGCAATAAACTACACTGCTGAAACACAACTCACTCAGCTGATTCCATGCAGGCTGTGACTCCTCACAGATTCTCTAATGCACCTCAGTCTTGATCTGTAACCCCCAAGTTACCTGACCCAGAATCCTCTCTGCACCGTCCATGCAGGCTGTGACTCCTCACAGATTCTCTAATGCACCTCAGTCTTGATCTGACCCCCAAGTTACCTGAACCAGAATCCTCTCTGCACCTTGAATTCTAACAATTTGTTGAAGTGTTGTTTTCCATAATTAAACAAGAAACTCCTCAATATGATCAAAGGACACTGAAATATTTCTGTACAGAATCCCATGCATCACCATGGGACACCTGCCCCTTCCTCAAAGTTCAATTTCAGAAAGGCAGGAAAAAGAAAACTCAGGGTGTGTGGGAAGATTTAAACCCTGGAACACTTTCTTTATACACTTAGGCAAAGCAAAAGGGTTTTGTAAATTAAAAAAAAAAAACCACCTTTATATTTCATAACACTGCAAGGAGAAATGCAGCCAGCAAAACAGTTTTTTCACTTAAAAAGCACAGAAGCAGTACAAGAGGGGGCACATTCCTGTAGGTGGGTTTGCTTTCTTTCCTCCTATTATTCACATTCAGGTGTATCAAAAAACCTAATTAATACCAATTTTCTCTGGGACAAAAACTACACAGAAGTGACTCCTCACTCTGCAAAACAATAAAAAACAACACCAAGCATGGTCACTAAAGCAGAGAATTTCCACCCTCAGCCTCTCCAGGAAACGAATTAACCTCCTTAGCGTTTTCAGCAGGCTTCAACAACTCCTCATTTCCAGGAGCGTTCACATCCCCTCCCGTGGCTAAGCCTGGCTCCTGCGTGTGAGGAGCACTGCCAGGAGCAGGCTCTTGCTTTACCTGCCAGGTACTCGATGACAGCTGCCATGTACACGGGCGCGCCGACGCCGATGCGGTACTTGTAGGTGCCTTTCTTCAGGTAGCGCATCATCCTCCCCACGGGGAAGATCACCCCGGCCCTGCTCGAGCGCGACAGCTTGGACATTTTCTTCTTGCCGCTCCGCCCCGACATCTTGCGGCCTCGTGCTTCTCAATTTGCTGGTGGTTCTCAGTGAGTTGCTCCAAATCTGAGGGCTGCAAGAGAAAACCCACAGGGTTGGTGAGAAACATCTTCACGCAGCCCAGGGTTTGACTCTCTCTGGGCCTTGGCTGTGCAGAGTGCAAAGGAGCATATGGAATCCACACTTCTTGCCCTAATTTTGCTGCTCATAGCAAGTTTAAACTACTTCAGCATTTCCCTCCTTTCTTTTGAAAAGAGGTTGAGACAATGTCATTCTAGTCAGTGAGATTGCTTCTGAAAAATAAACGTGCAACATAGAAAGGGGATGTTTTAGTTTTAAACTGAACACAAGTTTAGTTTAGTTACAAAACACAGGTTAGTTACTAAACACAAGTTTAGTTTAGTTTTAGTTTTATCATCGTTTTGATGTGTACAGAGGAAGGTGAAAAACCTTCACCTTCACGCGTTGCTGCTGCTCCAGAAGCAAAAATGCAAACTCAACGCCTGTTAAAGTGCAGGCATTATTGATTAAAAGCAGGATAATTTGAATATTTGCTATAACTTTGCTTTTGAACTGCACTGTCAGTGTAGCAATATCAGGAGCAAAGAAAACAAACCCTGTTTTCTCCTTATTTTTCCAGCAACCACAAGATTAGGGATAAACAGACAAGAAACCCTGGACTCTGCCACTCCACTCCAAAGCTTGCATGGGGCCACAGTTCTTGTGTTTGCGAGGTTCCCAGATGAAGGAAGGAAATTATGAATCTGACTCCATGTTCTTAGAAGGTTCATTTATTATTTTATGATACCATATTGTATTAAAGAACACTATACTAAACTATACTAAAGAATACAGACAGAAGGCTAAAAGATACTAAAGAAAAACTCGTGACTCTTTCCAGAGCCTCGACACAGCTTGGCTGTGACTGGCCTATAAGTAAAAATAATTCACATGAAACCAATGAAACAATCACCTGTTGGATAAACAATCTCCAACCACATTCCAAAGCAGCAAAACACAGGAGAAGCAAATGAGATAATATTGTTTTCCTTTTTCTCTGAGGCTTCTCAGCTTCCCAGGAGAGAAATCCTGGCAAAGGGATTTTTCCAGAAAATATGACTGTGACACACAGTTACCTCACTGCCAGCATCCATTCACCTCAGTGAAACAAGGAAACACAACAAGGGAGACACTTTGAAGAGCATTCAAATGAATCTAGATGATACTGCTAAATTTTATCATGAACTTTTCATTTATGATATCAAAGGTATAAAATCAGCCAGGAGCTGTAAAACCTTGGCATGCCCTTGTGTATCAGCCAGACAATTTTTTCTTTCTGTGAGTAATGCATCATGTGGGCACGATGAGAAAAGTTGGGAAAGATTAAACCAGCAAACCTATCAGACACAGACACGTCAAAATTGGTGTTGCTCATCATCCCACCCTGAATTCCCTGCCAACTGCCAGCCTGGAACCACAAGTTGTGGTAACAGAGCTCAAAGGGAAGGTGAAAAGTGGGGAGGCATGGTACTGGTCTTTAGAGATGTGTGGAGGTGGAGAGAGCAAGTGTTCCCTACAGCAGTGACTCTTACAGAAGCTGTATAGCAGAGGAGAGAGAGCAGCACTGGGCTTGGTCAGACAGGGAGGCAGCAGAATCTTCCCATCAGGACAACTTCAGAACAATTTGGGAATCTGTGTGTCAGAAATCGAGCAGCACTGGATCTGCCTTAGGGCTGGAGGCTGGACCAGGTGATCTTCCAAGGTCCCTTCCTTAATGAAACTTGCAATTTGTGACAAACCCTTTATAAACTTTCAATTTCCTATTAATAACAACCCTTAAAACGTGTCCTTTTCGGTTTGTGACAAGTGACATCCAAATAATAAACCTAGGCTGGGAATTAGGCTTCTAGCCATCAGAGGAGCCAGTTTCTGGAACAGCCTTCTCTTTAGAGCAACAATAACTCCTTCTGAAGTGGAACTTAATAAATGTATGCAGTAGGGTACAAACAGCTTCCTGCAACGCTGGCAGGACAGCTGCATCACCCAAGAGTTCAGTCCAGCACTGAAACCCTTACAGAGAGCCATGCTGAAAGGGTACACTACCTGTATCAAAAATATATTAAGCTAACCTCTCATATATTTGCTCCTATAGCATCAAATCCCAGCTGAGTGAAAATCAGTGGAAAAAGGCAAACGCCAAGGGATTAGATCCACAGAAAATACCATTGTTACACTTGATCTCCGTGGCAGAAAATCAAAACACATTTGTACACAATTTCCCACACTGCTCTGGGCCATGCTGCTGCATTGTATAAATTTATGTTTAATTACTCATTTTTGGCTCATCCTTCTGTTGCCATCACTGAACTTTCCACCTCTGCCTATTCCTTTATTTTCCCCTTCTCTCTCACAGGAAGCCCTCTGCCATTATTTACTCGCCTGCTGCCAAGCCAACTCTTGGATCCCAAAATATTTTCCAAAGGCACTGCAGGTTATGTTTGCAGAATTTTGTGAGAGCCTAAATACAAGATGTTTCAAAACTCTTCTAACACTGTCTCTGCTTTGCAACTTACATGGACCAGGGTGCACCGAGGAACAACAAACACAGCAGCACACTCTTGTCTTGTTTTGACTCCTACAGGAGACAATTTTTGGTAGAAAGCCAAGCTCTGGCATAGTCACAACAGGACCCGGACAAAGAAACGTGGAGAAAACTCCTGTGGACCCTGGACAAAGAAATCCCACAGACAGGGATCTGGTTTCCATGCAGGAAGGAGCACAGGAGCTCAGCCCTGCCACACTCACCTGAACTGCAACCAACAGGTAAAGAGCTACAAGTTAAGCACTGCTGTCCTAATTGTTCTCTTCTGAGGACACAGCCAAGCCTCAAGGGCTTATCAGTTGAAAAGTCTACCCACACTCGCTCCCTCTCTGCCAGCTGATTCATCATCTCTACGTTTCTTCTCCTGAAGTGCAGCCTCCATTTAAAAATAAACCTGTGCCATTGGTGCTAAGTCCGTCCTCACGGAGCTACAAGGGCTGTATCTCTATCTGGCTGCCATGGCATCAGGCTTGGGCAATTGAAAGCCATTATTGTCCCTATCCCCTAATTGGTCACAGCACACTCCCACTCTGTCATGACTCCAACATCCCTGTGTTGCTATGAGGGATTGAGTAGCTACAACATCTCATGGAGCTCTCTACAATATGACAGGGCTTTCCTCTCTTGAGTTTTGCCTTCTTCACAGCCCAAGGCAACCAGTGACATTTTCCTTCTGCCTCCTACAAAAACACCTAAGAGTCCATCTTCCACTGGACCAGGTTGCTCCAAGCCCCATCCAGTGTGGACACTTACACTTCCAGGGATGGAGCAGCCACAGCTTCTCTGGGCTACCTGTGCCAAGACCTCACCACCTTCACAGGGAAGAATTAAAGGAAGAGTTCCTTCATAACATCTGACATAAATCTCTCCTTTTTTAGATTTAAACCATTCCCCCTCGCCCTGTCACTATATGCCCGTGTAAAAAGTCCCTCTCCCTTTCTCACATGGCCATTCAGGCACTGAAGGGCTGCAGTAAGACCTGCCCAAAGCCTTTCCACGGCCAGGCTGAGCACGCCCAGCTCTCCCAGCCTGCCCCCTGAGCAGAGAGGCTCCAGCCCTCGGAGCACCTTCACTGCCAAACACTGAGAGAGCTCCAAGTCAGCAGTCGAAGGCCGAAATAAAGGACATGCAGGACTATCCGCACAGCTGCACTTCCCCCATCGCCAGCTGAAGGCCTATCCGAACAGTTAGGAGCTGACAAGGAACCACAGACATACCTCGGATCCAGCTTAGGCTGCACAATCACTTACAAATGAAACATTTGTGGAAAATACCGCAGAAGACCCGAAGCAGGGGCTCTTTATCTGGCCGAATTGCTAAGGCACCAAAGCACAGACATAGCGCTGTTCAGGGGGCAGGCGGGGCGTCCCCAGAACCCCCACACAGAGCGCGCTCCCGTGAAAGAAGCTTCCAGGGCACCCCAGACCCCGGGGGCCCTACAGAGGCAGCTCCCGCTCACAAACAACACCGAGCGAGCCTTGTACGGCCCCACAATGATCCCCTGGAGCCCGCTGCGAGCGAGCGAGCGAGCTCGGGGGACCCCGCGCTCAGCCCCGGAGCCGCCCCGAGCCCCCTCAGGGCCCGCCCGCCGAGCGCCGCCGCCCCGCCCCGCGCACGCCTCGCCGTTGCCCGGACACCGCCGCCCCGCCCACTCCCCTCGCTGATTGGCCGCTGAGGCAGCCCAGGCCGGGCAGAGAGCGCGCTGATTGGCTGCCAGCAGCTTGGTCGACGGGAGAGGGGCGGGACAACAGCCGGGCCGCGCAGGCGTCCCGAGGCGCAGCGGAGTGTGTGTGTGTGGGGGTGTGGCCGCCGGCTTTCCCGCGCAAACGCTCCCCCCTCACGCCCCCCCCTCACACCGCCCTCAGCGAGCGCCGCCGCCGCGGGGGCTTCGCCCGCTGCCCGCCAAGGGGCGGCTGTGGCGGCGACCGCTCGGCCCCGGAAAGGGAAGCGCTGCGGGGGCCGAGCGGAGGCAGCGAGCGAGGAAGAACCGCCCCCTCCCCCCCATACACCGCTTACCCGGGGCCGGCCCCGCGCGCGCCGCCGCTACCGCCGCGCGCCCCCCCTCCCTTTATGGCCGCCCCTCACCCGCCCTCCTCACGCCCTTTCCCCTCACGGCCTCGGCCATGGCCGGGCCCGCCCGCAGAACGGCAGCGGCGCCGGGAGGAGGAGGAGGAAGAGGAGGAGGAGGAGGTGGGTCGTGCGGCCGAGGAGAGAGGGAAGGAGAGGAGCAGGGCCTCGCCGCGGCCCCCGGAACCCCCGCGCCGCCGCTGCCCTCACCTGCCGGCGCCCGCCGCCGCCGCCTCCTCCTTCTTGTCTTCCCTTCCTCTTTTTCCTCCCCCTCTTTTCCTCCTCTCCTTGCCCCCCCTCCCCTTTCCTCCCCCTTTCCCTTTTCGGCTCCCCCCGCCCTCGCTCCGCCTCAGCCGCTCTCCCCGTATTGTATGTTTCAATGGCGATGGCGGCTGCTGGTGAGGGGGGCGGCAGGGGTTTCCTCCCGCTCCGCACATACCGCCTCTAGGAGGAGTCACTGCAGCCCGGGCCCGCTACAACCCCCCTCTCTTGGCTGCCGCCCTCCTCGCCCGGGCCCCAGGGCTGCAGTGGGGGCAGGAGCCCCCTCCCCGCCCAGCAGAGAAAGGGCCCCCCTGACCCTAGTCCCAGTGGGCTTGTGGTAGCCGGGAGCATAAAGGCAGAAAGCCTTCCCATCCTTTCCCAGCGTGGAGGAGTTCGGAGATGGAGAGGTTTCAAGGCAATCCCAGACTGGGCTAAAGCTCAAGGGGTGCCTGTTTTTTGTTAGAGAGAGCCACTCATCCCTCTGTCCCTTTGGCAGGGTGGCCTGTGCGCCTCGCTATGGTGCCTCTACCCCAAATATTCCAGCATCCCCAAGTCGGCTTGGAACGGCTGTAACAAAGAGTGCCGGCAGCTCTTTGTGTTGTCTTGCGTTGGAGCGCTCTGGGCGCTCACAGGCTTTCCAACTCGTCCACGAGGGCTGCGAAGTTCCCTTCTGAATGGAAGCTGAGGGCTTTTCTTTCCTTCCCTGCAGTCGCACGGATTCAAGAGCTCGAGCTCCAAGAGACGCAATAAGCGATTGTGCTATGAGTCTTGGCAGCGCCAAATCCGCGAGCAGAGGCTGGTGCAAACAGGAGAGCACAGGGCTGCACCTCTTTAACTCCTCTCAGGTATATTTTTTACATCAGGCTGGGTTTATATCATCATTCCTACACAAATTACCTTGTTGCACTGATTTTGCTGTAAAGGCATTAGGGTGCTACAGTAGTGCACTAGAAGATACATTATTAGCACAGGCCACTCCTGCTTGCTTGCAGTGTTACTTCAGGAGGGTGTCTGGGAACAACAGAGAGAAAGAACCATTCATGCATTCAGCATTCTCTTTGCCACTGTGAAAAATCATGAAAGATTCACTTGAGCTTGGTTTTTAGCTCTGCCAAAGTAAGCAATTTTATGTCTGCACAGAATGGGATTTGGTGGGTAGAAAAGCAATGGAATATTTCCCCAGGTTATGTTAATTGTGGATCACACCATCTCATGAAGAAAGAGGGCATGAGTTCAGGACCTGCATTTTCCTGTGACCTTGGGTAAAGCAGTTCCTTTTACACAGCTGTATTTTGACTTGTTAAAATGGGAATAAAGAATACCTTTTCTCTTTTCAAGCATTAACAGCCTCAATGCATTGGTGTGGATTAATTCTTTGGAGTCTGTTCTCTTCCTCACTTATTTTTGAAAGCAAGGTCAAGATGTCTTGAGACCATAGGAGAAAAAACTCGTGTTTGAATTTGACTTATTTTGAAGAGGAAGCCTTACCTTGATCTTGCCCACTGAGAGTTGGAGTTTATCAAAGGAAGAAGATATCTGTAGGCTTGTCAGTGTATTGAACCATATTGGGAGGGTAGGAGGAAGCAAGATTTTCAAGCACTAAGCATAAAAATTAATGACAATGTAAAATCCATGTGAAAAGGAAGAAAAGCATTTACATTTTTCTGTTTCCAGATGCAAATGTCTGCATCCAAAAACACTTACAATCGTGCATGTGGTACGTGGCTTTGTAATTTAAAATAATTTGAGATGAAGCAAAATAAGCATCCCAAGTTTTTGAAAACATTCCCAGTTTGTTAGAGTTTAACATCAAATAGTTGCTGTGTGATAAGAACACGAGCGTGTGGGAGGTCTTTCAAAGAAAAAAAAAAAAGTCTTTGTGTGAGGCAAACTTTCAGCATTAAGAGAACTCCCTCTGTTTATAACAACATTTTTCTGTTTATAAACAACACTCTCCTGAAGGAAACAGGGGTGCTGGAGAAGTGCAAGAGAGGACATAGAAAATTTTCACAGTGTAACACTTTTTAAGTCCGTCACAGATGTCTGAATTTTAATACCAATTTATGTGCTGTTGTGATTTTTAATAAACTCATATTCCACTCTTTATTTCTCCAGTGAATACAGCCTATTCTAGTCTAAATATTCTATTCTCCTATTCACAGCCTATTCTATTCTAAATATTAACAGCATTTACATGGATATTTTATGTTGTTCAAGTATTTCTGGAAGATTTGGGGTCACTTTGTGACACCATAAAGAATTTTTGAGTAGGGCAGATCAGAGCAAGGCAGCACTGGATCAGTTACTGGGTGTGAATTGTTCTGCAGTAACAGCACCCTTGGAACCAGCTGCATTTTAGAGCAGGTAAGAGACTTCTGGTCACAGCTCCTGTGTTTTCCAGCCATTTAGATGGAGCTGTTACTAACCCTCCTTTGAGCAGAGCTTTCCCCACCCGGCAGGGGCGGGGCCTGCCCTCTCTAGGTTGTGCGAAGCCCATCTGCCTGTTGCCTCCCGAGCGCAAACGCAATCTGTTACTTTGTCAAAATAAACAACACGTCTGTCTGATCATTTCTAGCCTGCTGCCTGCCTGACTCCCCGGCTATGGGGGAAACAGCCTGTTTATGGCACTCTCATTTTGGGGCAGAAGCTGTTACAGCTCAAACATTGCAATGAATAATTCACAGCTCCAGAGACAGGGCTTCGCTGGGGCTGGCAGGCATTCGGGGTCATCCTGGCAGGAGAGGAATGCCAAGTACTCCAAAAGCTCCATTTTATGTGTGTGTATCATCCAGGGAATTTGATCAAATCAGTGTAAGCATTGCCCTGACATTAGGATAACCAAATGCAGTCAAAGTTGGTGTGTGTCTATATGATGATCATTGTGAACAGCTGTAACAGCAAAGTTCTGCAACTAATCTATATTTCTCTAATGAAAATTAAGTATTTTCCCATTTTTTAGCCATTTTAAACCCTTCCTCCACCTTTCATATTGCTTATGTGCTTGTTATGCCAATAGTTTGGGTACAATGGGCTAAAGAAGCCAGAAAACCTACATCCTAACTCTCTGGAGAATTCTCTTTTAATAGTACTTTCTTAAATTAGACCATCCCACATACTTCAGAATCTAAAGTCTTGGTGTGTGTCAGATTCTGACACTTTGTTTAACATGGGCTGATTAGCTGCAATCACAGGTTAGCTCTAGGGGAAAGGTCTTTCTTCCCTGAACACCAACTCTGGAAGTTAAATGTAGCTTATTAGCTTAGCAAAATATCAAAGATATCTTTTCATCCTTAAAAGGAGGTTTTAATCCTTTTTACTTATCCTTATATGCAGCTAAGATCATGTCTTAAGTATTCCTTAGCCATATAAGTAAAAATACCAATTGCATATTTAATCACAATCAACATAACTTTTGTTTGTTTGTTTAATGGAGATTTACAAAAATGTCTTTCAAAATGAGGGGAAAAAAGAATAAGGTAACAAACCTCAGAAAATACCATTGTTTTCAGCTGAGGAATGCATTGTAGGATCCCTCTCCACAACTCAGAAAGAGTAGCCAGAAGGGGATAGGGAAAATTGTGGGAATCATGAGCATAGAATGGCTTCTCCAATGAACTAGAACAGGTCAGGACTTCTAGCTAAGGAAACTGAGTGGTGGCTTGAGAAAGGACTGATGCTCTTGGCCTGGTGCTCTGTGATTCCCAAGGATTGCCATTTTTTACATTAACTCCTAAAATACTATTCAGTTCCTGAGTTTGAGGAAAGCTGGATGGATAAAACCATACATTTGAGAGTGATGCTTTTGACCACAGATCAATGTGGTAACTGCCAAGCTAAAAGGCAGAAAAGCTTCTATCCCTGTGAATTTCTTTAAGAAAACTGCTTGCAACAAGGTGCATTTACTATAGCACAGCTTTTTGGTGCAGAAAGTGACACATTCTTTGTCTGGGGACTCCTGATGCGATGATTTGGGTTTGGATTTGCAGAACTCTGTTTGTCAGAGGAGCAGAGGTGCAGCAATGTGTCACTGGATGCTGGAGCACCGAGTCACTCCACTCCATATCCCTCCAGATCTGCACTGAACAGCTCACATTCCCCACTTCTCACCCGTTGCAAAGGGATCTTAGATCTGATTGATTGTTCCTGTGCTGATAAGGATGTCTGGCCCTTTGCTGTTACACCCTCTGGTGTCGCTTGGAGCAGGGACACAC